TTTGTAAATTATTTAACATACAAAAATATTACTCATAGGAAGCAGTTCTGGCTTTGTGTTTAATAACAATGTAGTGTTTAGAAAACTTTGCTCCATTTTTACAGCCCATGACCTACTTTTTTATATAGTGTAGTGTGGGTTTTAGGTATCACATCACAAAGTGCTAATCGTGTCTATAGCCACGTCTATAACTACATTACTACTACACCATCATTTACACAATTTGTTAAATGAGTGAATGAATTGAAGCTAATTTTTCTAACTAGCTAATTTTACTTATAATTACCTTGATGACACACCATTAAAAGGCTCATTAATTAGGCTGTATTAATCAGCTTTCACTGGTGTCTGGGTCTAAAGGCTAATGACAGTTGCCTGAATTTGAGTATCTGCACATATCCTCCCCCGAATCCAGACACTGAACGTAATGGGAGCAAAATCCATGTGACATCTTGCTTCCACATTGCTAAGTGAGAGAGAGCAGTTACCTGTGAGTAGCACCATGTGCATCTAGTTGCAGCAGAGCTCCCCTGCTGCTGCTGGTATGTGTGTGCAAAGCACATGCCCTGGGATGTGATACATAAAGGAGAGAAGATGGAAGGGGCTTACCAAGGGGCAGAGTACAACAGTGAAGTGCCCAGTGAGTGAGTGTACACAGGGGCTTGATAACTTATAGCACTAGCTATGGGGAAGGGGCTTTAGACTGGAACAAGCCATGGAAGCTGAGGGAAGGGTGATGCCTCAGAATCATGGCAGTGAGATGAAAACGAAAGAGGAAGACTCCTACAAAAGTGTAACAAGACAGTGCTCTCCCTTGTCCATTCAAGAAACGACACTGTCCTAAACTGACGAAGGCATGCTCCAACTAGACTTTGCTATATCCAAAATAATTGGCAAAGGACCAGGTTTTTCTAACACTTTTTAAATTGAGTCCTATGGCAAGGACCAAGAAACACTCTCTCTGGTCTCTTGTTATAAAGCCGTTGGTACTCAGTCATGGGGGCTCTACCTGAGTTCCCTGTCTAATCCTCATCACCTGCCAAAGGCCCCATTTGCAAAAGTCTCCATCCTCTCTGTACCTCACAGCAAGCTAAGATGTGTTGATGGGAGCAAGCTGCATTTAAACCATAATAATTCTTAAATTAGCAACAAAACCTGGGACCTCAAATTACAGGGAAATTGAGTTCTTTAGACAAAAGTAATAAGGACAGAATGTTCAAGAATGAAAGTTTGTGAGCACATTGACAAAAGCGAGATGAATGAGAATCTTCAGAAGAACAATGGGAGATATGTGTACAGGTGCCTGGAAGATGTACTTGAGTGTGTGAAGAAGAAAAACATGCAACGAAACCAGTGGTTAAATTAGAATCTAGAAAAACTTCCTGGGAATAAGAGATATGTTACCTTACCCTTTTGAAAGATCCCCATGTGCCTGGGAAAGCAGTCTACAACAGTGAAATCAGAAACACATTTTGGTAAGTTGGCAATCTTCATAAGGATAAATTGTGCTGTCATCACAGCTCTGAAGAACAAGTCGTGGCAATAGAGTAATAATTTCATGGAACTCAAGACAAAAAGTACAGACCAAGATTTGGTTTCCAGCTAAAGTATTCTTCATTTCCAACAGCAACAAAAAGACAAATGTGAACATTCAAGCATTCATTTGATAATCCTGTTCATGAGCAGATAAGCTTAATCCAACCTAGAGAACAGGCGGCAAGCTTTGGCAAAAAGGACTGTCCTCACTTATGTACATTAAGACTGATACAAGCAAGGGTGGGAGTGTGGGTAGAACAGTGGTGCGAAGTGTTAGGTAATTAAAGAGCAAAGTGTACCATCTTTAGACTGGAGAGAAGAAAAGTGAGATTACAGGTTGTTGAGGATGGAATGTTTAAAACTGGTGGACTGGGTGCTAAGTGCTTAAGGTTGGCGGGAGGGGAAAGTTAGTGTGGTAAAAGTATAAATGCAAAAGCACTGCAAAATCAACCTTGCTAAATACCAAAGAAAATTTAAAAAATCAAAGGTGTAAAAAATGCAAAAAAGAAGGAACATAGTAAATACATAGCAGTAATTGTTGGGAATCAGTATGAATACAAATGAGTTTAAAATGCCTATTAAAGGGCTGGAGGGATGGCTCATCCGTTAAGAGCACTGGCTGTTCTTGAAGAAGACCCAGGTTTGAATCCCAGCACCCGTATGGTAGCTAACAACTGTCCGTAACTCCAGTTCCAGGAGATCCAACGCCCTCTTGTGACCCCCACAGACATGGCACAACACCTGTACACTTACATATACGCAGGCAATATACGCACATATAATAAAAATAAACAAAAAAATGAATTGCCTGTTAAAAGGATTTCCAAGATAACTCCTAAATAAACATCCTTCAAATTTAGTTTAATTAGTGAATGCTAAAATTAAGGATAGAGGTTTGATAAAACGTGAGATTTTTGCACTCTCTCCATGTGTCATCGTAACTGTTAGCTTGAAGGGGAAGAACTCTATAGTAGAGACACTGGACAGCTTCTTGAGCATGCTTGAAGAAGCTAAGGACCTTGTGGCCTGTGACTGTGATGCCCTTAAAGGGGCATTTACTATGCAGTAGTCTACCAAGTGGTGTATAAAGTGATTTTGAAAATGGAGGGCAATCAGGCAGTTCAAGTTGCAGAACATTTTATAAAATAACTGGTCTCTGTTCTTCAAAGAATATGTCATGGGAGGAAAAACATAGTCTTTGGAGATTTTAGCATGTAGCCAAGTGTCACCTACGACTCTGTACTGGATAGAGATGCTGCAAAGGGAATATTCAAGCAGTTGACAGGATTGGAATATGAACTGGCAGAAGTACATTATAAATAGTACAGTTCTCTGAGTGTGGTAACTTTTTATGTTTAAAAAATTGTACTGAAGTATAAAGATGTAAAATATACTATGTGAACTTAACTCACTGTTCAGAAAAAATTACATAATACTGTGGTACAGGATAGCAAACCATACAAAACAAGGGTGAGTTAGCATAAGGAGTCTTTGAGAGTGCTCTTTTCTCTAAGTTTAAAATTACTTTACAGTGTTTATTATTTTTATTTTATGTGTATGAGTGTTTTGCCTGCATGTGTATAAGTACACCTATGTTATGCATTGTCTGTGGAGGTCAGATGAGGGTGTCAGATCCCCTGGAACTGGAGTTATGGACAGTTGTTAGCCACCATGTGGGTGCTGGGAACTGAACCTAGGTCCTCTGGAAGAGCAGCCAGTGCTTTTAAGTGCTGAGCCATCTCTCCAGCCCTAAAGTTACTTTATAAAGACAATTTTGCTATGCACTATTAGTCAGAGACCAAAACACAGTTTAATAAAGAAGCATCTTTACGTTGCTTAATTTTGTCGCTCACTTTTTTTCTAGTGCTGTTTTACCAGTGTAAACTATTTGGAAAGCTTGGCAAACTGGCCTAAGTCCGTGTCAAGCCATGTGTTTAATTTCTTTTAAGTCTTCTTTTCTTACTCTATAAAGGATTTGTTCATTCCTAGAATATGTTTTAGAGAGAAAATATTTTCTAAGTGTGTCTGTGTCCTTTGTTCTGATTTCCAATAGACTAGCTGGTCCTGTGTTACAAACACCCGCTGTTTGGTTTCCCCTATTGGTGCTTCCTTGTGAGATGAACTGAAGAGCCCTGGTGTCTTTGCAGACTTTTACTCTCATTCCAGAGTGAGCTGTGCTAGACAGTGTGTGGAAAGCATTGTCCATACGCCTTGCCGCCTATTCTGTGATTAAGTCCATTTTGCCAGATCAAACTTCTTTATCTTTTAAGGAACAGTTTGTTCTGTTTCAATAGAAAAAATATTTGACTCTACTTTCAAAGATTCCTTTCTCTTAATGTATCATAATTATTATAAGTATCATCAGCAGCTCTGCTTGGACCATATAGGGAGAAAAGCTAGAGATCACACATCTAATCTCAATATGTTGCATTAACTATTTTTTAAATTTCAAAGCTAGTGATTTAAAACTAATTTTCTATCCACCAGTTCTTTGAATGTGTTCCTATTGAGGATTTTGCTTTTGTCCTAAGGCTGTACAAAGAACTGAGTTGTCCAAGAGCCCACATGCCTTTTCCAGCCAGAGCAATGGCTCATGCACAGTGAGGTTGTTTTTCGGAGGTTTTCAGTTCTAAGTAATGCAGGGATGGAATGTCAGCTGACCTGAATTAAGGATGGTTACATTATTATTTTTATTAGCATTTTGTAGGGCATATAAAGCTTTTAAATTTTTAAAAAATATTTATTATTTTTATTTTATGTCTATGAGTATATTGCCTGCATGTATGTGAGTGCACCCGTGTCATGCAGTGGCACGGAGGTCAGAAGAGGGCTTCGGATTCCCCTGGAACTGGAGTTAAGGGCAATTTGTAGCCACCATGTGGGTGCTGGGAATCGAATCCGGGTCCTCTGTAAGAGCTGTCAGTGCTCTTATCTACTGAGCCATCTCTCCAGCCCCAGCTTTTAAATTTTTAAAAATTTGTTTTTATTGAATTTTTGTGTATTTCATACAGAACACCTCAATCTTATTTTTAAATGTATGGAGGGTGAATTCTTCAAAGGACAGTGTTACTTTAGAGTTTTAAATGCTTTCTAAAGAAGACTGGAATGACAAATATCACCTGCATTTTTAGGAAGTATGGAGCTACTTTCTAAAGATCAAGAACGTCTTTTCTGCATTATGTATTTAAGCACCTCAATGTAAAGTTAGTAAGAAATTAGCTAGAAATGATTGGAATATACAATACTGAAAATACAAGGCGGATTTTGTTAAAAATGAAGATATTTTAATTTAACTTTTAATGATAATGATATTTTGCTGTTAACTTTGTTGTTACATTTTGAAGTTCTAATTTTCCAACCATTCCATTCAAGGTCTACCAATAACTAGTGTTTTACATTTAGGGCTTTGCCCTTGACATGGCATTTTTAAGTAATTTTAAAGCAATTGCTTGTTTTCCAACTAGGAAGAAGCATTGCATGCGTTTATTCAGCCAGAGACCTTAGATGGCCCGAATCAATATTTTTGTGAACGTTGTAAGAAGAAGTGTGATGCTCGTAAGGTAAGTGGCATGTAGAAATTATGATGTCATCACTAAGGTGTAATATTCAGTACTAATACAGCTCTGCCTTATTTCTTTTTTAGGGCCTACGGTTTTTGAATTTCCCCTATCTGCTGACCTTACAATTGAAAAGGTTTGATTTTGATTATACTACCATGCATAGGATTAAACTGAATGATCGAATGACATTTCCTGAGGAGCTAGATATGAGTACATTTATTGACATTGAAGATGAGGTAAATACTCATTTTCTTGCTGTGAAGTACTTTCCATTATCTGTTTGAGTCAGACAGTTATTTGGAATGAATTGAGGATGCCTTCATTTAGACTGTTGTTCTGATTGGGTGTGCCTTTAAAAAGACAGTACAATCTTACCTCTGGAGTTTTTTCTTGAATTTGAATGATAATCCTGTTTTATAATTTCTTAGTTATTGAGATTAACCTTTAGTGTGTTGCGTCTGTTTCTGAGCTGTACGGAGCATGGAATAAATCCATGAGTGAATGAACAAACCTAGTGATACTACCCTTATCTCCTGTGTTTGTTCTAACGCCTCTTTCAAGAATTAAGATATCTGGGTTACTACCATCTAAAGTTTGCTAGCTTACAGAAAGATAAAAGATACAAAGTATTTTGTCTATTTTTCTTTTTTTTAAATTAGTTCTTCGTTTTAATTTGAAATCATTTGAGCATGGGACATGGATAGGCACAGGGTATGCTCATCAACTTCTACTGGGTGGCCTCCTGCAATTTTCTTTTTCTTTTTTCCTAGCCTTTATTTTTCTATAAAAGATTTATAATATTCTGCTTGATTGTTTTGGACACACTCATGATTTTGTTATATGAAATATTTAAAATCACTAAGGGTAGTTGTCTAGAGTGATAAATCTTTACTGATGTCAGAACTGCCATAAAGAAGTGTGTGTGTGTGTGTGTGTGTGTGTGTGTGTGTGTGTGTGTATGTGTGTTGATGGGGGTTTTTTTTCGGGGGGGCGTTTTTGTTTTTGCCAGGTATAGTGGGTACAACTTATTTTTAAAAAATTATTTATTATTTTTTATTTTATGTGTATGCGTGTATTGCCTGCATGTAGGTAAGTGCACCTGTGTCGTGCAGTGCCTGCAGGGGTCAGAAGAGGCTGTTGGATCCCCTGGAACTGGAGTTATGGACAGTTGTTAGCTGCCATGTGGGAGCTGGGATTCGAACCCGGGTCTTCTGCAAGAACAACCAGTGCTCTTAACCACTGAGCCATCTCTTCAGCCCACACCTTTTAATCTCAGCACTGTGAGTTCCAGTCCAGCCAGGGCTACACAGTGAGACCCTTTCCAAAAAAATTCTAATTGTAACTGATTATAAAATTGTAAAAAGTACCTTTTCCCAGGAGCTCAAAATTTATAAGCACTCATGATGTTTTATTTAGTTGCACGGGTATGTGTGTGCAAGCGTGCATGAGTGTGTGCATGTGTGTGTGTAAGCAGTTTATCAAGAAAGAAGACATACTTTTTTCTTCAGTCAGTCTGTGATATGCCTGATTTGGTGGGGAGGGGTTCCAGTGATTATGCCAAGTGGCTTCTCCAGGGTCTGTTCCTGGCCTCATTCTCTACCCTGCTCTCCTACCGCCCTTCCTTCCTTAGGGTTGTTGAACACCAAGAGATAGGGTGTAAGGAAGAGCACGTGTCTGAGCCTAGCTAGGTGTCAGTTCAGGTCCTTGTCTTGCTACTTGGGAACTTCCTAGATAAATCATGTAAATTTTCTGACCCTCATTTCCTTGTCGGTAAACTATGGGTCATAATTGATAGCTATTGTCAGACAGCATTGTAGATGTTCACTGAATGGTGACTACAACCAGATAACACTCTCAAAGAACTTTTCTTTTTAACTAATTTATTGAGAATTTCATACACAGTTATTAATACAGGCTGCAGCTGTCCATGGACTCCCTACGTCATCTCACTAGGTCAGAGTGTACCCTTCACCAAGGAAGCTATGGGTCATTCTCCAGGCCAGAAGAGGAACAACTGACCCTCACTTTTATGTGTCCTTTTTCTTTTTAATTTAAAAAATGAATTCATGGTTTTGGGGGGAAAAAAATAAAAGGACAAGGAAGTGCAAAAAGAAACCCAAACTATTTCTATAGCCACCAGCTGTATACTACTTATAGATGTCTGGATGTATCTGGTTATACCATGTGTATATACAGACTCCTGCATTCACAGCACAGATTCAACTGTTTAAAATCAGGCTACAGAGATCATCAGTGGTAAGGTGTTTCTGCAAAAGCATGGGAACTTGAGTTTGATCAACAGAATTGGGTGTGGTGGTGAGTGCTGGTAATCCCAGCGCTGGGGAGGCAGAGACAGGAGGATCCTTGGGACGTGCTGGCCAGCCAGTCTAGCCAAATCTGTGAGCTCCAGGCTCAATGAGAGACCCTCTCTCAAAAAATAAGGTGGAGACATGCTGGAGAGATGGCTCAGCAGTTACGAGCACTGGCTGCACTTGAGGACCTGGGTTCAGTTCCCAGCACCCACATGGTGGCTAACAACCACCCAAAACTCCAGTTCCAGGGGATCTGACACCCTCTTCTGACCTCCTCGGGCATTGCATGGTGGGTGCATTTACATACATGCAGGCAATACATTCATGCACATAAAATAAAAATAAAATAATAAATAAAATATTTTTTAAAACGTGGAAAGCAATGAAGAAGAAACCCAATTTAAGATGAGACCTTCGGCCTCTACATGCAGGTATGCACAGGTACACATATATCCATCCACACATGTTTACCCACATGAACTCATACATAATTACCAAACACACACACACATACACTGATTTTATTCTTGGTGAAATCTGGCCATAAAAAGAATTTTATTTTATTTTAAATTTTGTTGAGAATTTCATACATGCATATAAGGTGTTTTGATCAAATCCCTGCCCACTCCCTCCCCTCCAACTCCTCCCATGTTTCCCCATCACTTTTTTCTGATAACTTCATGTCCTCCTCCTTCCTCTTCTTCCTCTTCCTCCTCCTCTTCCTCCTCTTCCTCCTTTTTAAGTGAGGCTATTTGCTACTCTAACATTCCCCCCTCTGAAGTGGTAGCCCTAAAATCTTTTAAGGATTAGATAAGAGAAATTGAGATAAGAAACTTGAGAAATTTTTGGCCTTTGAAACGGAGTATGTTACTAAGAGGCCCAAGGACATTTTGACTTTTAGCCAAGAAGCTGGCTATTTATCTTTGGGGTCTTTTTACCTTAACTGCCTAGCCAATTCCTACCTCATATTCTTATCACACCATCCTCTGAAGAGATTACCTAGCTTACAGATAGGGAATAGTTAGGTATAGTTGTTCCTTTCTCCATTCTTTGTATTGCTTCAAGTATTCTTTGAAGGGCTGGTTTTGTGGACATGTATTCTTTCAGGCTTTTCATGTCATGGAAGATTTTTCCTTCCCCCTCAACTATAATAGACAGTTTTGCTGGGTAAAGTATTCTGGGCTGGCATCTATTGTCATTTAGAGCTGGAAATACCTTGGTCCAGGCTCTCCTGGCTTTCATAGTTTGCATTGATAAGTCAGCTGTAATTCTGATGGGCTTTCCTTTGTATGTGACTTGTTTTTCTTCTGCTTTCAGTATCCTCTCTTCTGTACATTTAGTGTTTCTACTATGATGTGTCATGGGGAGTTTCTTTTCTGATCCTATCTATTTGGTGTTCTATGTGCTTCCTGTATTTGTATGGGGATTTCTTTCCTTAATTTTAGGAAATTCTCTTCTACAATCCTGTTTAAGATCTGGTCAATACTATTAACCTGAAATTCTTCTCCTTCCTCTATGCCTATGATATGTAGATTTGGTCTTTTCATAGTATCCCACATCTCTTACATATTCCATACCTGGGTTTTAAAAAAATTTCATAATCTTTGCTTGTGTGGTCTAGTTCTTCAACTTTATCCTCCAGTGTTAATATTCTGTTTTCTATTTCGTTCATTCTAGCCATGAGGCTTTCACCTGTTGTTTCAAATTAGCTTATTGAGTTTTTCACTTCTTCATTTCTGCCTGAGTTTTCTTCAGTCTTTCTCTTTTGTGAATTCATTCAGAAGCTTATCTGTGTCTTCTTTCAGTTCTTTGATTTGTGTGTTCTTTAAATTTGTTGAATTCCTTGATCACGTTTGTGATTGTTCTTTTAAATTCCATGTCCTGGGTTATTTTTAGGGGGTTCTCCTTGTAGAACTCTTCTACAGGATTGGTGGAGTTTGATGGGGACAGTCTGTTTTGGCTTTCCATTTTATTATTCTTCCGTTGTGATTTTGGCATGTGAATGTCTTTTGTTGTTTGCGATTCTGACATGAGAATTAAGTTGAAGTATGCTTCTGCTTGTATTATTGGTGTGCCTTGGTCCTTTTCTTATTGTAAAGCTGGTTGGTCCGGGTTTCAGGTTCTCTCAGGTTTTAATTTGGAGGGAGCTGATGGCTTCAGATCAGCTACTTAGGAGCACCCACAGAAGCTCAAGTAAGGTTCCAGTCAGATACACTCAGGCTTCCTTCTAAGGTTTGGACCCCTACTAAGTGGGAACTCAGAGCAAAATTTGGGACGTTCCCTAAGGGGGGGGTGCTGATTTTGGAACTCTTCAGTCAGTCTGCTGAGTACTCAGCCCCTATGCCAGAGGGAGGCCGGAAACAGGCACTCTCTAGTGGTCTGCTGAGATCATAGCCACCACACTACACAGATGAAGGTTGGAACTGGCCTTCTCAGGCTGTCTGCTAAGATCTCGGCCTACCAAAACCAGGTCTGCCCCAGGCCCTTGACAGGGGGCCGCTCACAATCCCAGTTAGGGGGTTGGGTTTGGCGTAGTTAGGGGAAGCTCACCACTATGTGGAGGCAGTATCCAGGCACTCTCAGGCAGTCCCCTGTGTTCTCAGCCCCTATGGCAGAGGGAGGCCTGAAACAGGCGCTCTCTGGTGGTCTGCTGAGACCACAGTACCCAGATGGAGGTTGGAACCCGCCCTCTCAGGCTGTCTCCAAAGAACTTCTTTTAAAATAAAGAAGGTGGATCAGGCTGGGTGTGGTGATGTACACTTGTAATGGGAGAGATAGAAAGGGAATAACAAGATTCTGGACTGGACCGATTGCTCGGTGGTTAAAGCACTGACTGCTCTTGTAGGTTCAGTTTGCTGCACCCACGTGGTAGCTAACAACCATCCGTAATTCCAGTTCCAGGGGTCCCACACCCTCTTTGCTCTCCATGGTCATTGCATGACATAGGTGCACTTCATTCCCGCAGGCAGTGCACTCATGCACATAAAAATAAATCAAACATAATTTTTTAAAAGAAGATTAAGTTGTGCTTAAGTTAAAGTTAATGTATCATACTTTCCCAAAGGAAGGAAACTTAGATACAGTTTGGTAGGTTCTTTTACTATAGTCTAGAGATCTTGGCTTAGTTGAAGTTTCAAGAACAATCTCTCTGGATTTACTGGACACTTTTGTTTTTTGTTTTCTTGCCTGCTTCTTTGCTTGGAGTTTGGGGATTTTTGTTTTGTTTTGTTTTTTGGTTGGTTTTTGAGACGGAGTCTAGCTATAACTAGACTACATTGGCTTGGAGCTCTCTGTGTAGACCAAGCTGGCCCCAAATCAGCAATCCTTTGCCTCTACAATCCCAAATGCTAAAATCACAGACATGTGCTGCCATGCCCCCAGCTTGAGGCTCAGAAACTGATTTTTCATCTTCATTTTTCTTGAATCAGGCTTCCTTGAGGGAGGAAGAGTGTACTGTATACTAGATCTTGCACCTACAACAGAGTTACTGACAAATACTGTTGCTGTTACATATTACTTGGATGATGCAAGAACTTAATGAAATACCTTACACATATCAGCTTTCATCTTAGATAGTTCTTATTTCAATAAAACCATTTTAGGTGTGTTTATAAAATGTTAAAGGAAAGGAGAGAAAAAGAATTGCTCTGGGATTTCTAACAACTGCAGTTCTTCAGATTAATGTGCTGTGAATAGAAAGTCATAAGGGATAGAAATGTTATGTTGCTGCACCTGTGCAGCCACGCTGTTGTGTTCTCAAGGACAGGTACAGAGTCTTAGTGTTCCTTCTGTTACAGTACCTAGCACAATGATAAACTGAGATAATACTCTGTTGAGACTGAGAACAGAAGATGCTCAGTTTGGAGCTTAGGTTCACTGCTGTGTCAGACTTTGCTGTAGGAAATGATAATGGAAATGTTTACTTTGCTTCGATCAACATAAATGATGTTTAATAAGATTCTGAATTACTGTTTGTGGTGTTAGAATTTTATGGATGGTGGAAATACTTTTAAAATACACTTGGGTTTAATTTTACTTAAGATTCGAGTTTAAAAGGAAACAAGTTATTAAAGTCTAAAAAATGCTTTTATTAATAACATGCTAAACCATAAAAATACTAGAGATATAGGTAAAAATTTTGATGACCATCTTTTCATTATTTGACTTAAATTTTAAGGTAACTGTGTCTTATTAGAAATCTCCGCAGACTGAAAGTTGCACTGACAGTGGAGCAGAGAACGAAGGCAGCTGCCACAGTGACCAGATGAGCAATGATTTTTCCACTGACGATGGCGTTGATGAGGGGATCTGCCTGGAGAGCAATAGTGGAGCTGAGAAGATTTCAAAGCCTGGACTTGAAAAGGTGCCTTTTGTTAAAAGTGCTTTGGTTTGGGGTGCTGAGAGTTAGGCATGCTGGACAAGTAGTCACTAGTCTGTTGTGGTTTTAGATAGGACAGAGAATATATTAATCTGCAAACTTCTGTATTATTCTCTAGCCTCATATTTGGAAACAAAACTCCTTAAAGTTTGTTTTGTGTGTGTGTGTGTGTGTGTGTGTGTGAACTATATTTTAGGAAACACTTCTTACAGGTGGGACTTTTTTGTGTGCATAGCCTCTAGGAGATGGAACTGTGTTAAAAGCTGAATCATCTTAGAATGGGTGCCTAGTAGTCAGGAAACCAAGAGTCTAGTACCACCTCTGCCCCTAGTATTATATAGTAAGTCTCTAAATCTTTTGTCTTCACTGAGTTTTCTCATAGGAGAAAATGAGTGTTGGACTTAATTTGTTTCTTTTTAAAAATTCCAACCATGGGGGCTGGAGAGATGGCTCAGTGGTTAAAAGCACTGGCTGCTCTTAGAGAGGACCCAGGTTCAGCTTCCAGCACCTACATGGCGTCTTACAACTGTCCATAACTCACGTTCCAGGAGATGTGGCAGCCTCTCTGGCCTCTGTGGGCATTGTATGACATGGGTGACCTTACTTACATCCAGGCAGAATACTCATACACATAAAATAAAAACCAATGAAAAAAATAGTTTTTAATTCTGACCATGGAGCACTTCTAAACAGTTAATAACAGAGTTGATCTCCTTGAGGTAGGGAAAGCCAAAACCCTCAGCTTTCCCAGAGCCCTCGACTTTTCCCTTCTCTCCCATAACAGTCCTTGGAAATTCTAGAAAATGTTATAGTCCTTGGATTATAATTTGAAAATCACAGAATTGGATAATATCTGGGATAGAATTTTGTTTTCCCCATATCAGTGATTTTAAGATTTTTATCAAGCAATTTCTTTCAGTTCATGTCACCTCCTTTGTTGAGAGGAGGAACACAGATTTTAGTGTATTAAATAATGAATCATTAACTTGACTCAAGCCACATAGAGTGATTAAATATAAAGAGCTGGGGCAGTATTTAAGAAAAGAGTCTCACCATCCTGAGTCTGTTTTTAGTTCAAGGCCAATATTCTCACCATCGCCACTACCCTTGACCTTTTAAAGCAGATAGGTGAGTGGGGGTTGCCATGCAGCAGATGCGTTAGTACTCTATATATGAGACCATTGCATTGCAGCAGTGCTTGGGGGATGATGGCTGGAGAGCCCACTGTAGTTCCTTGCCTTGCCTGCTTTTGTGCACGATCCTGTCATCTGCAAGTAAAGACAGTTTAACATCCAGTATGTGTGCTTTTTTCTTTTCTTGCCCTTCTGCCCTAGGTAAGACGCCCAGTACAGTGTTGAAGGAGAGTGATAGGAGACAGTATCCTTGCCTTTCCCCTGTCCTAGGAGGAAAGATTTCAGGCTCTTACCATTAGTATAATGCTGTATTTCGGAACCCTTCTCTTTCATATAGGTTGAATTGTCTTTTACTTAATAATATGATACCTACAATTCTGATTTTGAGAGTGATTCCGTTCTATGAATTTACCACCATTGTTATCTAAAAGTTGCTATTTTTAATATTTTCCAGTAAAGTCACTTTTGGACTTTGTAATTGTGATGAAACTTTAAAAATGTATACCTGGTAACCAGGTGCGGTGACATATGCCTGGAATCCCAGCACTTTGGTGGCATAGGCAGGAGGATCTGTACCACTTTGAGGCCTCACTGGTTTACCTAGCAGGTTCCAGCCAGCAAGAGCTACAGGGTGACCCTGTTTAAAAAATAATAAGTAATGTTCTTGACACAAATTCTAAATTTTAGGTAAATTCTGAAACCTCCTATTCCTCATTACTTTGATTAATTTCATCAGTAAAATTTAAACTACACAAGGAAGTTTTCAGGTGTTTCTATAATTTTTTTCTAGAGGTTTCACTGTGTAAAAATTATAGTCAGTAGGCCTGAGTCACCATGCCTGGCTGCTCCCTGTTGTTGAGCTGTAAAGTGCCTAGACTTCTGAAAGAAAAAATGATCAGAGCTAGAGTGCTAGCACATGCTTGTAATCCCAGCACTTAGAAGGCTAATTCAAGCTAATTGAGGCCTACCTAGGGAACAGGGGAACTCAAAGCCAGCCTATTCTACTTAGACCATGTCTCAAAATAAAAGTTTAAAAGAGAACCTGGAATATAGCCAAATAGTTGAGTATCTTTGAGGCCATAGGCCTTGTAGTACAACAGAAGAACAAAGGAAAAGGAAAAGAATCTTGATTCATTATAGGCAGGATTAGGCCCATTTAGATGGTATGGCTCTAGTCTAATTTATAGAAATAGCTTAGTTCTGTATTCATTCTTTTTAATTGTTTATATTTTAATTTATATGTATGTGTTTGTGCCTGCTTTCCTATATGTATACATGTGTGCAGTGCCCATGGAGACCCCAAGAGGGTGTCAGATCCCTTGGAACTAGAGTTATAGACAGTTTTGAGCCACCAATATGTATGCTAGGAACTGAACCAGGTCCTCTGAAGAACAGTACACATACTCTTAACCACTTAGCCATCTCTCCAGTTCTCTATATCATTTCTTATCATAAGCAATAGATAATCAAATTAACATCTTTATGTCACAGATACTATTTAAATACATTAGAAGATATTTCAAATAATCATATCCCTGTGCTCTTTTGTAAAAGAAATAGAATTTTATTTAAAGTGAAAAAGAGGTATTTCAAATAATTATATCCCTGTGCTCTTTTGTAAAAGAAATAGAATTTTATTTAAAGAGAAAAAGCGCACACCTTTAATTCCAGCACCTGGGAGGCAGAGGCAGGCAGATTTCTGTGAGGCCAGCCTGGTCTACATAGTGAGTTCCAGGACAGCTGAGGCTATAGGGAGACCCTATCTCAAAAAGACAGAAAAAGAGAGAGAGAGAGAGAGAGAGAGAAAGCTGTATGTTTGTAGTATCTTGATCTTGACTGTGCAAATTAGAACACCCTTATATTTAGTACCTGCCTCCAAGATTTCAGATGGTTATTTTTTACATAAATATATGTTTGTGTTTATAGATATATATAGTTACAAAGATTACAAGGTAGCATAATTAAAATGTGAAGGAATATACTGAATGAGGCTGGTGAAGCTTGTGGCATATAGATTTGGTGACATGCCATTTTAATGTTACCTAAGAGGTAAGCTGATCTATAATAGATAGCTATTCATGTTATTTCACTCTGCATCAGTAGGGAATAGGGGATTTTCAAATAAGGGTTTTTGTAATTGTCGTCTCTTCTCTTCCAAATCTCTTTTCTTTGCCCTTAGAATTCCCTGATCTATGAGCTCTTCTCTGTGATGGTACACTCGGGGAGTGCTGCTGGAGGTCACTATTATGCTTGTATAAAGTCATTCAGTGATGACCAGTGGTACAGCTTCAATGACCAGCATGTCAGCAGGGTAAGGTGGTGTCTTCATTACACTGAAGACTGCAGTCAAGATGTTAACTCATTGACAGTGGGGTTTATTTAAAGCAGACATATGTGCCTGATGATGTGTCCCAAGTCCCATATCTAGTTAATCTTTGATTATCAGTAAATTTCCTTGTTTTCTTTTATTTGCACTTGCTAATATTTTCAAGATAGACTATCCATTTTCTTCTGTCTCCCAGCTTTCCTTTATATATATTTCTTGTACTTAATGTGGGACTAAGAGCCCTTGAAACACTTACTGGCATGGCCATGGATATACTCTGAACTGGTATCTGTGTGATCCATCTTGAAGATGTCAGGTAGCATTTAACTTTGAGGCTAAAAGACTGGATAAGAACTGGGCGTGGTGATTCACACCTGCAGTTCCTAGCAATGGGGAGGCTGGGGCAGAGGATTGCCAAGAGTTCAAGGCCAACCTTGGCTACAGAGTGAGATCCTGTCTCAAGAAAAAGCAAAAACAGTCTAAAAGATTGAGATACATATTTAATTGACATCAATGTAGTGGTGTCATCAGTTTTTACAAAAAAGTACCTTTACACTATTTAGATAACACAAGAAGACATTAAGAAAACACATGGTGGGTCTTCAGGAAGCAGAGGGTATTATTCCAGTGCTTTTGCAAGGTAAGCAATATCCTGAATTTTAGTGCTTATGCATTTGAATTAATTATAGCTTCTCTGTTTTTATCAAGAAAAATTTAATCAAGGGTCAGCAAACTGCTGACCAAATGCAGCCCATGCTCACATTTTGGGAGAAGGTTTTATTGGCCCCTGACACAGCATCAGTGCTCTGTAATGGCCGACGCTCTCACACTGTAGCATGGTGGAGGGGCTGCAGCACAGACCATCTGCTGTGCAGCTAAATAATTTGCCTACTCCTGATTTAGCTCCAGTTGCCGTTGTGGCATACAGCTGTGTTGAAAACTTTACTATGACCAAAAGGGGGTATGTAATCTTTTCATAAATTTGTCGTTAAGAACAAAGGGGGTTTTCCTTTCTTTCTGGAATGTTTAAATTTTAATATATCTGTGAACAGTGATGTGACTTTCTGATTATTTGAAAGAAAACCCTAATGTTTCAAATACATATTTGATGCTTGTAAGTGGAATCTTTACCATGTTTGGGGGCCTCAATCTGTGTTCTCTTTCTACTAGCTCCACAAATGCATACATGCTGATATATAGACTGAAGGATCCAACAAGAAATGCAAGTATGTTAACCTGTTACAAGTTCATGTGCAAGTTTTGCAAACATAAATAACTGTTTTTAGGTGATGGAACAATTAATAGGGTTTGGGTTTTTTGTTTTTTTGGTGTTTTTGTTTTATTTTTTATTTTTTTTGGTCGTTTTGAGACGGTCTCCCTGTAGCCCCAGTTGTCCTGGAACTCACTATACAGAGATCTGCCTGCCTCTGCCTCCTGAGTGCTGGGATTAAAGACATGCGCCACCACGCCTGGCTTTTTTTTTTAATGCCTGGCAGAATGAATTACAAACTACAGTGAAGTAATACAAAATGATTTTTAAAGAAATAGGAAAAAAGGCTGTGGAAATGGACATGCACTATAATTCTAACTACTTGACTGAGGCAAGAAGATTTCAAGTCTGAAACCTGCTGGGCAGTTTAGCAGGACCTTGTCTCAGAATAGTAATTTTCAAAGGAGCCTCAGTGACAGAGTGCTTTTTGTAGCTTCCACAAATCTCTGAGTTCCACTCTCTAATACCATTGTGGGGAAGGGTGATTTTTGGAATGCTTCTGAATACACTTTCTCATTAGGTGCTGTACTCTGTACAGTTTGGTGCTGTGATGAGCCCAGCCCTTGTAGCACTCACAACTTAGCATCTGCGTAACCTAGAGCAAGTCACTTAACCTTTCTGAGTCTTTCCAGATCTGTCTGTAAAGTGAAAATAATAGTATATTTTACCGTCTTATAAATGAACGAAGTAGGGCTGGGCATGATAGCCCCACGGCTTTAATCTCAGCACTCGGGAGGCAGAGGCAGGTGGATCTCTGTGAGTTCAAGGCCATCCTGGTCTGTGTAGCAGTTTGGCCAATGGGGCTACCGATAAGACCCCGTTTCAAAAAATTCGATAGTAGGGGCTGGAGAGAGAGCTCAGTGGTTAAGAGCACTGACTACTCTTGCAGAGGACCCGGGTTCGATTCCCAGCACCCACATGGAGGCTATGAGCCATCCTTAACTCCAGTTCCAGGGGAATCCGAAGCCCTCTTCTGACCTCCACGGCATTGCACAACACAGATGCACTCACATACATGCAGGCAATACACTGATATACATAAAAATAAAATATTTTTATAAAAATTTAATAATAAATAAATACAATGCAAAATACATATCGTGTCATTTATCTAGTATCCAGTGAAAACTCAGGTTTACTGTTATTTTCTTCAAACTTTGGGAATGTTAGTTAACTAACAGTTTGAGTGGGAACTCCTGGTGGCCTGAAATACTTTAGAAAATGGTTTAAACTGGGCACCGTGGTGGTGCACGCCTTTAATCCCAGCACTTGGGAGGCAGAGGCAGGCAGATCTGAGTGAGTCAAGGCCAGCCTGGTCTACATAGTGAGTTCCTGGACAGCTGGGACTACAAGGAGACCCTGTCTCAAAAAGACCAAAAAAAAAAAAAAAGGTTTAATATCTAAAGTTAAATATCTCTGGTTATTTGATTGAAAAGCAAATAAGTTTTCATTAAGTCTAGTATGCATCCTTTATTATGTGTTAATTATATGAAGAACGGGGTAGGGCAGGTGACAGCAAGATGACTCAGCAGATAAAGGCATAGGCATCTGCCACCAAGTCTAATGACCTGACTTCTATTCCCAGAATCCACATGGTGGAAGGAGAAAACTGACTCCATAAAGTTTTCCTCTGACCTTTATGCCATGGTGCATGCCCACACATACACTCAAAAATAACTAAACGTAAAAAAAAATCACAGAAATAATCCCGATTATAAAGCAATTTGTCTTTTTTATTTTTTTAGTCATTACTATAAGTATTATACTATAAATAAAATTATAGTTCTTAGGGCTGAGAGATGGCTCAGATACTTTTAAAAATCACTGTTCTTGCAGAGGACCCAGATTTGATTCCCAGTACTCACACGGCGACTAGCGACCGTCCATAACTCCAGTTCCACGGGAATCCAATGCCCTCTTTTGACCTCCACAGCATTGCACAACATGTGTGCACTCACATACATGCAGGCAATACACTCATACACATAAAATAATAATAAATAAAATTCTTTAAATTCTTTTTGGACTTTTTCTTGCTAATTCATACTGATTCATAGTTGCAACTAGGGTAGGATGTGTGTATTTGTGCCTATAGATATGCACACAAATGATGTGTCCATATTCTTCCTTTAATAATTAAAAAGGTAGTCACTGTGTATTAGTTACTTTTCTGTTGCTGTGATAATACACTGACAAGGCAACTTACAAAGGGAAGAGGGGTTTTTTGGAATAAGCATCCATCACGGTGGGGAGGCCTGGTGCCAGAGGTGTCCGGAGCACAAAGCTGAGCACTCACATCTTCAGACTCACAAGAAGCAGAGTGAAACTGGAAATGCAGCAAGGCTTAACAACTCTCAGAGCCCATCCCCAGTGACGTGCTTCCTCCAGCATGGTCATACCTCCCAGAGGTTCCACGACCCCCATGAACTGGGGACCAAATGTCTAAATACTTGGAGCCCATAGGGGGCACTCATTCAAACTACTACACACTGTCTTTGATTTCAACATATTTTCTTCTTTAGAGGGCTGCCATGCTCTTAGTAAATCTGTGTTACCCATTTAATGTTTTTTGTGAACCTCTATTAGATTGTGAATTCATTTAGTGCCAGACTTAGGACTTGGTTGTCTTTTCAACAAAGGCATATTGCAGGACATGTAGGTTTACTGGAAGAAAAGAAAAAGGGATTACAATAAGAAGTTATTTCAGAACAGAAAGTTAAGAACAGAAATAAGCAGTTATACTTTATCATCAAGATGTCATACTCTCAGTGATCATCCAGTCACGGATACCTGGAGGCAGAGCCAGGACTATAATTCATGTCTTCTGTAGAGCCAGCCTTCCAGTAGTGCAGTGCTTCAGCCGTCCTTTACAGACTCCTCAGCTCTAGTTCTGGGACAAAGCACCAGAGGGCGCTGCATCACATGACCGGGAGGGCTTTTGAGCTGGATAACAACAGGACTGTGCCAGCATGGAAGTATTTTTAAGACTGGAACTGATGTCTGGAATCATTGTGTTTTTGCTTTCCACAGTTCCTTTTGACATTTATTGTTCTCCCTAAAGTCAAATAAATCATTGGCTTTATTAAGCAATATCATAATTCAGTGTTTTTCAATATTATGTTTTAAGTTAAATGTAAAGTTAAAAATCATTAAGGAAGTTTTCTAAAATTATTTAAATGTAGTAGTATTTTTATGTGTACCTTTTTCATTTATTGTTTTAAAGTAGCATTCAGAAATGCTAATTACTTTATAAAACAAAAAACTGACAGAGAAATATAAGAGATGAGTTATCAGTCTTGTGACTCTGCCTTCTTTAGGCAGACTGAAGAATGAAGGGAAGACAAACAGTTAGAGGAGAGAACAGTAAGTCACATTTGCTGCAGCAACTGTAATATTGATTGATTTGTATTATATTCTGGGTGATGACTTTGTGGGCCAGGAGTCTCTTAATAAAGAGGCCTAGGTCTAGACAAGTAACCTTGCCCAAGGCCGCAGGGTTCCATGGTGATGGCATAATCTGAAATGAATTTATTTTCAAATTTCTGAGGTTTTCTTTTTTTTTTTTTTTAATTCTGAAATCTTGCTAGGTGTGGTGGCACTTGTCTGTAGTCCCAGCACTTGGGAGGCAGAGGCAGGCGGATCTCTGGGAGATCTGTGGGAGATCTGTCTGAAAAAGACCAAAAAAAAAAAAGTTGTTTTAAAAAATCTAGAATTTTGAGCCATTTTGGTAATTATATGAATTTAAAAAAAATATTAGGTCTGACTGGTTTCATTATCAATATCTCTTCAATCCTGCCTGGAAGAAACTTGTGTTCCAAGTTGAGAGAAGGGTACATATTTCCATGGGACACTGAGTGACATTTTTTATCCTGTTTGTTACTGACAGAATTTCTAGAGGTGGATGAATACCCAGAACATATTAGAAGCTTGGTGCAGAAGGAGCGAGAACTGGAAGAACAAGAGAAGAAACAGCGAGAGATCGAACGTAATACATGCAAGGTCAGGCTCACAACTTTGCTTTAGTTGAGAAGTGCCGTGGAAGCGTGTGTGTTTCATAATCTCCTCACCTGATAACTTGTTCTGTGGTTCTGTGGACAGCTGTGCCATTGTGGGCATTAAAAAATAGTGTGACTTTCCAGCAAAGGAGTGATTTGATTTGATGCAAAAAGAACCAGTGCTTATGCTGGTGTGGCTGCGTTGAGGTGGGCATTCTCATATCCTCACTAAAGAAGAAAAAACTGTGTGGACTATCTGAATAGAGCTGGCCAAGCAGGTTGCACACTGTTAGTGTCCTGCTGCTGCTGGCTTGCAGTGCACTCAGTAAACTGTTCTTCTTAAGAACAAACAGCAAAACCTTAGGCTGGACATGGCACTTAATCCCAGCCCTGGGGAGGCAGAGGACAGCTTGGTCTACAGAGGAAGTTCCAGGCCTGCCAGGGCTACAGAGTGAGACCCTATCTTTAAAAAGGAAATTAAAAAAAAAAAAAAAAAAAACTCAAGCAAATTCACAAGTTCATGTTCTTGGAGACAGTTTCTCCTATAGAAATATCCTAGTGAAATTATCACAGATACTTTAAAAATCTTGACCAGAGCACATTAATCATACTATTTTCCAAATTAGAAAACAGAAACAACCTGAATATAATGTCAGTATATACTTACATGGATGTAGTCATCAAAAGTAATATTTTGAATGTTTCGAGACACATGATTTGGTCATTATCAATTTGGGAGAAATACAGTAAGAGAAAATAATCCCAATTATGTTTTTTTTCTTAATTACACTATTTTGACAATTAGGAAAAATACTGTCTGCAAAAAAATTCAGCTATAACACTTGGCCTCCGGAATTGATAATGGTATTTTATATTTTGTAGATAAAACTATTCTGTTTACATCCTGTGAAACAAGTAATGATGGAAAATAAATTGGAGGTTCATAAGGATAAGACGTTGAAGGAAGCAGTAGAAATGGCTTATAAGGTATGTTTAATTGCATGGTTGTCCTTTAATTTTCATGACTCCCAAGTCTTATTAAAGCTAATGTGTAATACAAGTGCTTTTAGTGGATTTCACTCACAGCCTGTTGATAAGTCTTACTGTCCTTTGGAGTACACCCAGTTCATCCTCACTTTCAAAGTCAGTTAACCTTTCTGAATCCCAGAATTAGAATTAGAAATGTAATGTTTATTTGTTCTTTCCATTCATTTAGGAGGTTTCTCTTGAGTGAGTGCCCTGTGTATGAGCCATCAGAGATACCAGAGGAAAGATAAGGCTTTGGCCTGGAGGACTTTGTTATCCAGTGGGAGAAAATTTAATCTCACAATTTGCAATTATTTTATTGTTTGGATGTTACAAAGTAAATCCGTAGTGTATATTGAGATGATTTATTCTGAAACTATATCCATGATACAGTTATAGTTTGTATTGTTTTGTATTGCATAGTTTGTATTATTTTAGGAATAAGGACAGATGGTCTTAGCCAGGCATGGTTTGGTTATACCTGTAATCTCAGCACTTGGGAGGTAGAGACAAGAGGATTAGGTGTTCAAGGTCATCCTCAGCTACATAATGAGTTCAAGGACAGCCTGGGCTACATGACACTCTCTCTCAAAAAAAAAGATATATATATATCTATAAAAAAAAAATCTCTATAACTTGATATGAATAATATTTTTAGATTTTACTGTTTATAAGGGTCTGTTGGTAGGATTACCACACATTAAACTAAAACACTCAATTTTTTTCCTTTTGTTGGGGGACTGTTTTCTCTCAGATGATGGATTTAGAAGAGGTACTACCCCTGGATTGCTGTCGCTTAGTTAAATATGATGAGTTTCATGACTACCTAGAGCGATCATATGAGGGAGAAGAGGACACACCAATGGGTCTTCTCCTAGGTGGAGTCAAATCCACATACATGTTTGATCTGCTACTGGAAACAAGAAAGCCTGATCAAGTTTTCCAGTCTTACAAACCTGGAGGTAAACAGTTTAAACTTATTTTGAGTTATATTGGCCTTAAGAATTTTTGTGATAAAATGTATTGTTCATAGAAATGAATATTATGTAATTTTTTTTGTTGTGTTCTTAAAATGTTCATAATTTTGACAGGCTGGGACATAGTTAGCAATGAGTTTGGAATTAAGTTCTCGTTTATGCCTGGCTCGATGGCTCATGCCGTGATTCCAGCACTAGGGAGGCTAAGGTAGGAACGTCACAAGTTCAAGCTCTACCTGGGCTGCAAAGTGAGTTCAAGATGAGCCTGGGCACATTTGTTGGACCTTGTCTTAGATAATAAAAAACAATAAAAATATTTTTAAGTTCCATATACAGAATTTTGATAATGAGCAACAGCAACAGAAAACCACCCAGCTCAGTCTCAGTGGAATTTTTTGTCTTTAATATATGGTATTGAATTATCCAATACTGAATGACTGGCAAGCCCTGAATTAACAGCTCAACTCTGAAAACTGTCTCCATCTTTTTCTCCTCCTCTTCTCTCTTTCCCTTCTTTTCCCTCCTTCCCTCTCACATCCTCCTTTACCTGGCTTCCTCCTTCCTCTGTCTGCCCGAAAAAGTATATACCCATCAAGTCTCTGGAGTAGATACTGTTTCAGGATCCCTTTGGAGGGGTGAATTCGTGTCCCCAATCAACGCTGTAATCTCCACCTCTTTTCTACTTCTGTAGAGCTTTTTCCTCTTTTCGTTCATTGCATGTAGCATAGTGACTTTAGTGTGAATGTTTTTCTTTGAAACTGTATTGGAAAGTAAAATGCAAAGCCCATAGTTTCTCAGGAGTGGGCCCTAAGAACAGCTTCATGGTCTTTCCCATATCCCCAAGTGTTCTAATAATCACTTATGTAGAACTCAGTTTTTAAGATAATTTTACAGCGGGTGTGGTGGCGCACACCTTTAGTCCCAGAACTTGGGAGGAGAGGCAGGCAGATCTCTAAGTTCAAGGTCAGCCTGGGACTACATAGAGACCCTGTCTCAATAAAAAGACTTCAAGAAAAGATAATTGTATAAAATTCTATTGGATCTTGACCCTAAGTGCTTGCATCTTTGGTAAGCAACATTTCAGACTTAGCTTCTGGTTTTTTTGTTCCTCAAATTTACATTTAGAAAAATTTATTTTGTCCTAATATTCTATTTCTAATGGAACCTGTATGCCTCTGTTTTATGAAAACTCCTCTGTTCAAAGTATATTAAGTATAATGTTCTTCCAAGAAGCCTCCCTGCCTCTCTTAAAGTCAGAAAATTTCATATCTGAAAACTTGGTGACGCCTGCTTCAGTCAGACTCTGCTCTTTGTGTAGAGTTCCTTTGAGGAACTGTGAGTAAGGTAGAAAACAAAGGAGTCAGTAATAAAGTCATGGATAGAGGCACTCGCCACAAGCTTGAGGACCTGAGCTCAGTCCTAGGAATCCACATGGTAGAAGAAGAGAACCAACTCATACAAGTTGTCCTCTGACCTCCACATGTACACAGCCTCTCCATGCACACTAAATAAATGTAAAGAAATTTAAATATTTTTTTAAAAGCTTTGAATGTAACTATGAATTGTAGAACTTAAGGAGTCTTTCTTAGTCATGATCAGGATCTTAGAATATTTTGTCATTTACGTGAACAACTTAGGGGAAGAATGAAAGACTGATATGTGTGAGAGGTTAAAACAATGACTGTTAAATGTGGTTCTTGACAGCTGTTTCTTTTTCATTAAAAGTTTAGCTTGAAGCTGGGCATGGTGGCACACGCCTTTAATCCCAGTATTTGGGAGGCAGAGGCAGGTGGATCTCTGTGAGTTCAAGGCCAGCCTGGTCTACATAGTGAGTTCCAGGACAGCTGGGGCTACAGGGAGATCCTGTCTCAAAAAGACAAAAAAAAAAAAAAAAAAGTTTAGTTTGAGCATGGTCCAAAAACACAAGAAAAACAGACAAACATTAAATGTATATATACACAGACCAATTTTTCTTTAGACTTTTCCATTGGATTTGAAGTGTAAGGTTTGAAGAGAGGAACAATCTGGTAAATGACTTAATGAAGGCTGTTGAAAAGAAATTTGGTTTCTCTCTATCCCCTTCCCTTGTTTTCAGTCTCTACTTATCTTTACTTAGTGTTGGGATTTTGGTTTCCAATTGGAACTCTGCATTTGTATTTTACACTTGGTCCTAACCAGAAGACCAAGAAGCAGCTGGATTTGTATTTTTAATACACTTAATAAATTTGACTGTGGCGCTATATTTTAGAAGAAATAAAACATTTTTTAAAAGTCACTTTTTGGCTTTTCTGTGTAATCCATAGTGCGTAAGTCAAAAATAATACTTCCACTTTTGTATATATATTTGTTAATATTGTGATGAGTTGTGAACAAGTTCAGTAACATGTATGTATGTAATATGAAGTACTATGTTGGGTAATTAGAAAATACTATTTTTGCCATCCATGAGAAACACATTTAGAATTCACTGCTCATGGGAAATATGTTTAGAAAATAACCTTCAGCTCTGTCTCCCTGTCCTCCAATGTGATAGAAGTGATGGTGAAAGTTCATGCTGTTGACCTGAAGGCAGAGACTGTCGCTGCTCCTGTAACTGTCCGTGCATACTTAAATCAGACAGTTACAGAGTTCAAACAGCTGATTTCAAAGGTAAGCTCTAAAATTAGTCCATAAATACTTTTTAAGTACTTGCTCTGCGTGAGACTGGATGGTAGTCTTGAGTAAGACTTAAGTTCTTCCCTAAGGAGGTAGTATTGATAGTCAGGACACAACAGCAGTGGGAAAAGAGACACCAGATAAAACAGCCAGCCAAGTGTAGAGGTCAGAAGGCATGAGGCAGTGTCTAGGATGTGACTGGAGCTGGATCTGTGTGAAGTGCATGCCTACCTGGAGGTGTGAATTTGGTTTGTCTCACAGAGGGCTGTGAGCAGTAGGCACAATAGGAAGGAGAGGCTCTGTGTTTGTTTTCAGTGCAGCAGTGCTCTATCACATCTGTGCTGTAGAGTGGTAAGACGTGGCACTAACCTGGGGTTCCAGGTGCATTGAGGGTGAGTTTGGAGTGCCAGTGAGGAAGCTGCTCAGATAATTCAGGTAAAGGCATATGGCTAGAGCTGAGACAAAATAGAGATTGTAAGTGAGGTTGCATAAGGACACTGTACTAGTCATTGCTAGATTTCAAAGAAAGGAGCATAGATGGCCTGGGTATAGATAGGGCTTTTTTGTTCAGTTGGGTTTTTTTTGTTTGGTTTTGCTTTTTGGTTTTATTGAGACAGGGTGTCTCTGTAGCCCCAGCTGGCCTGGAGTGCACTATTTAGACCATGGTGGCCTAGATCTCACAGAGATTCATCTGCCTCTGCTTTCTGAGTGTTGGGATTAAAGACTTGTGCCACCATGCCCAGCCTTGGTTGGGCTTTTAATTTTTTTTTTCACTACATTTTGTGTGTGTGTGTGTGTGTGTGGGTGTGTGTGTGTGTGTGTGTGTGCACGCTTGCACGTGCGTACATTCACCACAGTATACTCAGGCTTGACAGCAAGCATCTTTACCCACTGAACCATCTCAGTGCTGACTGAAAGGTAGCGATGTATTGATAGCAGTAAAGTAGTGAGGTGAGGAAGCCAAGGTAACCGGCGGTGACGGATCAACAGGACTCCATTACATGAGCTGGCGCTGAGAACATGGAATAGTAAGATGATAAAACATCTAGATTTCCTTGGGCAAGTGGACTGGACCATTTCAGATGTGATGATTATCATTTCAAGGGTCGCATGTGCTATAGAACCTGAGCCCACAAACGGGCAAAATTTTACCAGGTTCCTAAACTTCAGGTGAAATTGTTCAGTAATTGCAAGTCAGAAAGTTTTGGTGCTTTTTTTTTTAAAGTCTAGTTTACAGCCATTTGTCTTACTAGAGTAATCTTGTCTTTGAGTTCATTATCTCGGAATTTAAATTCTGTTAAACAGAGCTTCCTTGACCATTAATAGGTAAGTACTTTGTGAAAATGTGAGAGCGCTAAGGTTTGATGGTCATTAGTGTACATGTTTAAAAAAAATAATGACTTGCAGCACCTCTACCAGAGGTATGACATCAAGAAACAGATCATGTTGTATGGTCCTACTTTATGATCAGATTGCTCATAACTTCATGCCAGGGTGATAATAAGTGCCATGTGTAAAATTACAAGCACTGAGATGGGATTTTAGAAAGCTGAAGATCTGTTAGTCCACTCCCTGATGAAGCTAATAATCCTAGGGAAATTTGTAAAGAATAAGTGTAGCAATAAAGCATTGTGTCAACAAGTAAATGTTTTAAAGTATATGTAGACTGCTTGGCTACCTGCTTATTTCATATGAAATTCATAGGATGACTCCAAAAATTAAGGATACAGAATCTCAGAATAATGTATCAAATTTATTCTCATTTTGCACAAAGGAAAATGAATTTAGTAAAACCTCACAGAATACAGCTACCAAAAGCCCAGACAGTAGAAAGTGAAAGTATGCTGTGAGCTCTCTGAGTCATTTATTTCATGAGGAATGATGTCACCTCACCTGTGTGGCAAGTTTGAGGCAAAGTGCCTTTTACCTTTAAAACCATGCCAGGGCCTCATTTACAAGTGTCACTTTGTTCCTCTATGTTAAAGCATAAATAATAAGAATGTGTGACTAAGTACATTTCTGTACAGTTTCCCAAAACTTTCAAATCTCTATTAAAATATTTTTCTTTTTAATCTCTCTGTAGTATCAGAGAGGAGGAGAGGGTATTAGGACTGGGGCCCAGGGTCCTGCTTGCCTACACTTAGGAACTCAGCCCTGTCTTCTTTCCCCACCTCACTAAAGCTGAGCAGAATTCCTCTAGAGAAGTCCACTCTTACTGAACACTCTCATTGCAGGCCACACATCTGCCTGCTGAGCCCATGCGGATAGTGCTGGAACGCTGCTACAACGACCTGCGCCTTCTCAGTGCGCCCAGCAAAACCTTGAAAGCTGAAGGGTTTTTCAGAAGTAACAAGGTATGTTGTCTACTTTGCCATTGCTGTTTTCTGTGCTGACAGTAAATGAAAGGAAGTTCAGTGTTACAAGCTTGTGTCTCACACCTGGCATTATCCTTAGTCTGTCTGTCCGATGTAACCTTTTATACTCACACAGCTTCCCAGACACTCCTTTCCTTTGTGGGCAGAAGCGGTCAGGCCTCCTTCTCTCCACCTCCATCTTACTGGTTCTTTTCTCCTGTTACTGTGCACTTCATTTGCAGTGCTGGTTCTCCTCTCCCTGCATTAGTGTTTCAAGCTCTGAATTAGTCCTGCCTCTCTGGTGAAGGCTTTGTGGTTGACTCCACCCACCATGATGATAATGTCTTCTTAATTTTCATCCTCAGACTCCCTTAAGATAGTCCTTCATGCCAAGTCAGAGGCCTGCCTCATGCTCAGAAAATTACAGCTGTGAAGTCCTTCAGCCCTGTTCCCTTTGCCTTCTCATTTCTCTCTGTTGGAGAGGAGAAAGAGGAGATGATCTTGTTTTACATCTCGCTGTCGTTCTGTATTCCTCATTTACCATATTTACCCCAAATGTCACACGTTCACTCTAAATAAATTGCATCCCAACTATTCCTGGTTGCCACCTTTTACTCACAGCTCTTTCTGGTCTCTTTCATCTTAGTTCACCCTAGTCTTACCCCTACTTCTCCTGCATAGTATCATTTTATCAATCCTATATTTCCTTCCAATACTTGTATATGTGTGTGTGTGTGTGTGTGTGTGTGTGTGTGTGTGTGTGTACCCAAGTGTACAAAACTTTTAAAATGTCTAATCCATGGGCTGTTGAAATAGCTCAGCAGGTAAAAGTACTTGCTTGCTATCAATCCTACAATCTGAGTTCCAAAGGTGGAGAGACAGAATTGGCTTCCTGAAGTTGTCATCTGACCTCTGCACACATGCCACATACACATACACATACATACACATGCACACACTAAATAAAAAAATCTTTATTTTTTAAAGTAATCTAATCCATACTAGTGCTCTTTCTGTCCGAAAGAGCACTATATTTTTTTCACTTAAGTGATTAGCTCATAGTCTTGATTTGTAACTCTTATTGCATATTAACAGTGTCATCTTCTTACGCAAACCAACATGATGATTGCCAAATCTGTGGTTAAGTTTTGTTTTGTTGTTTTGTTTGAGACAGGATCTCTTAGTTAGCCCTAGCTGGCCTTGAACTCACTGCATAAACCAATCTAGCCTTGAACTTGTGGTAATACTCCTGCTTCTGTTCTTGAAGAACTGAGATTATAGATGTATGCCATCATTCCTGGCCAAGACTATGTATATTGTCGCACATTATAAACTGTCTTGTATTGATGTGATGTCATTCTTCTGATCAACAAGAATGTCACTGAAATTATTTATGCAAAGTAACCCTGTGACTCACTATTTAGGTGTTCGTTGAAAGTTCCGAGACTCTGGATTACCAGATGGCCTTTACAGACTCTCACTTATGGAAACTCCTGGATCGACATGCAAATACAATCCGGTTATTTGTTTTGCTCCCTGAGCAATCTCCAGGATCTTATTCCAGAAGGACAGCTTACCAGAAAGCTGGAGGTGATTCTGGTAATGTGGACGATGATTATGAAAGAGTCAAAGGACCTACAGGGAACCTAAAATCTGTGGACGCCATTCTAGAAGAAAGCACTGAAAAACTCAAAAGCTTGTCACTGCAACAGCAGCAGGACGGCGATAATGGGGACAGCAGCAAAAGCACTGAGACAAGCGACTTTGAAAACATTGAATCCCCTCTCAATGAGAGGGACTCGTCCACCTCTGGGGACAATAGAGAACTCGAGCAGCACGTTCAGACTTCTGACCCAGAGAACTTTCAGTCTGAGGAACGCTCGGACTCGGATGTGAATAACGACAGGAGTACAAGTTCAGTGGACAGCGACATCCTTAGCTCCAGCCACAGCAGTGACACTTTGTGCAATGCAGACAGTGCGCAGATGCCGCTGGCCAATGGCCTCGACTCCCACAGCATCACAAGTAGTAGAAGAGCTAAAGCAAACGAGGGGAAGAAGGAGACATGGGACACGGCCGAGGAAGACTCCGGGACTGACAGCGAGTACGACGAGAGCGGCAGGAGCAGGGGAGAAGCACAGTACGTGTACTTCAAGGCTGACCCCTACGTTGCGGATGAAGGCTCTGGGGAAGGACACAAATGTATGTATCTGAGAAGGAAAGATCTGAGAAACAGCACCACTGTGTTTCTCACTCTAAAATTTTAATTTAGAATTCAGTACTTACCTCTAAGAGTACCTAGAGCTCTGTGGACTATAAGATAGTTCAGTTTTCTTTCATTCCCAGTGCAGTACATTAGGGAGTAATTATATCAGAATGTTGGAGAATTAAGTAAGAGTTTCAGTACTGGGAAAGTATATGGGAAAGAATGCTAAGAAATATTTTTAAAGTAACATACTCCCTCTCATCCAAAGAAGCCAGATGCTTTAGAAATCGTTGTTTCAGAACTTCGTACATGCATGTAATGTGTTTTGATCAAATCCATCCCCAACTCGTTCCCCTCGATTTCTTCCCAGCCTCCCCCTCTTCCCTCCCAACTTCATGTGTTCTGCTTCTAAACCCGCTGAGTCCACCTAGTGTCTCTGCCTGTGTGTGCATGCGTGTGGGACTGTCTACTGCAGCAGGCATAGCCTCTTGGGGGCCACATCCCTAAAGAAGACTGATTCTCCTTCCCTCAGCAGCCATCAGTTGCCAGTAATCTTAAGTAGGGGTGGGGCTTCATAAGCAAATGAACATCTGTTTCACTGCAGATGTCCACCACCTTTGGCACTTAGTCTTTTCATCCTCTCTTCTGAGCTATCCCTGAGCCTTGAGGGAGGGAATGTGATGTAGATGTCCCATTTAGAGCTGAGTATTCTACAGTCTACAGTCTCTTATTCTCTGCATGTTGACCAGTTGTGAGTCTCTGTGTTAATTACCATCAACTATAAAAAGAAGTTTCTCTAATGCAATGTATGATGATAAAACCTCAGAAGGCAGTTTATTGCAATGTCCATTTAGCAGAATTATAGTATTAGATTCTTCCCTTAGGGCCTACAACCTAGTCAGCCATTGGTTTGGGGGCCAGTTACAGTACTGTCATGAGTTCCTTCTTGTGGAGCAGACTTTAAATGTAATCAGAAAGTGATTGATTATTCCCATAACATTCGTACCACAGCTGGGTAAAACTGTTTAGTACTTTTCTTCCCTGGTAGTGTGCATAGTACCTTCCAGCACTATGAAAGCTAGCCACTAGCTCCATATGAATGAAGCTCCAGGTCAGTACCATTTGATTTCTCCATGTTCTGTGACTCAAGTTTGTGGTATCTTCAGTAGTAGGGTCTTAGCATTAAGTTGTGGAGGATAACCATAGAAAGGGTTATGGAGGGAGTTTGAATTGTCATTTGGCCGTCATCATCCCCACCCCACCCCACTCTTACCCCCGTGCTGCTGGGGATGGAACTTGGTGCTTTACCACTAACCCATATCCTGGCCCTTTTAATTTATGAATTTTGTTAATTTTAGTTTGATACTAGAAACTCAAGGTTCTTGATTTTAAAAAGTCTCCTAAGAAATGGAAGAGATTAGTCAGTGTGGGCTTTTGGGACAAGCAGTAATAGTAAAAACTTACACGTTGTAACACTGTATACATTTTTTTTAAAAAACTTTTGGAAAGGACTTTCACAAAACCTCAGGCTAAAGATAACCAGGATCAAGATTCAATTTCTTTTCAAGTATTAAAGAGAAATAGCTAAAAAGTGAAATATTTAGCATTACTCTTTAACAAAGTATATATTAGCTGGGTGTGGTGGTGCTCACCTTTAGTCCCAGAGCTTGGGAGACAAATGCCTATGGCCTTCTGGCCAACCAGCCAGACTGGCTAACTCCAGGCTAATGAGAGATCTGGTCTCCAAAGACATGGTAAACAGCTCCTGAGGAGTGACACCCGAGATTGCTTTCTGTCCTTCACATGCAGGCAGCACATTTGTATGTACATATAATACGTATAGAAAGAGAGAAATTAATAAATGTAAAATCTTTAACACAATGTAGTCTTTACCTGGGGAGTGTAAGGGGAACACAAGCCACTATTGTTTTTAAAGTGCTTTGCTTCATATATTCTGAAAAGTATCTCTCTTTTTTTTTTTTTTTTTTTTTTTTTGAGACAGGGTCTCCTTGTAGCCCCAGCTGTCCTGGAACTCACTATGTAGACCAGGCTGGCCTAGAACTCACAAAGATCTGCCTGCCTCTGCCTCCCAAGTGCTGGGATTAAAGGCGTGCGCCACCACGCCCAGCTGAAGAGTATCTTTTAGATGAAAGTAGTAGAAATTATGAAATCAGCAATAAAAGTCCATAAGGATGCTTTTAACTAGTTAGATACAAGTAACACCAGAATCATATGGCATCCATGTATTCATCTTGCAGAAAGCCAAAGGTGAAAGTGTGGATTTCTGGCCAGTATTACAATACAGCTTTTAAGTTTCTGTGGAGGTATTACCGCATGTCTTAGTGAGCTTTCTCTTGCTGTGATAAAACACTGAGCAGAACCAACTGGGGGAGGAAAGGGTTTATCGTTTCTTTATATTTATCTTTTATTTTATCTCACATCTCCCAGGTCATCATTTATCACTGAGGGAAGCCAAAGCAGGAACTCAGGGCAGGAACCTGGAGCACAGACCATGGAGGATGCTGCTTACTACTGGCTTGCTCTCTTGGCCTGTGCTCAGCCTGCTTTTTTATACAAAACAGGACCATCTACCCAGGGGTGTGGATCTGTCTACAGTGGCTATATGGAGGCAGTTCCCCAATTGAGTCTCCCTCAACCCAGGTGTGTCAAGATGACAACTGAAGCTATCCTACATGCCCCATAAGACTCATTAGCATGATTTCATTTGGTATCTCAACAACTGTGTGAAAGTTTTATTCCCGCCTTAGGAGATTTAAGAGAATCTTGAAAAGGTAAATGACTGGCCATTTTAACCTTTTGGGAACTTGTAGGCTAATCTACTATTGTTCATTGAAACAGTAAACAGGGTCCTGAAAAAAGAACCATTTGTTCCAGTTTAGGGACCATACAGAAGGCTTGTTTTTAAAGAAAAATCCTGGATTTTGATTTTGGAGATGGCACGAGGGATGCTGCCCAGCAGTCTATACTGAGCCATTTGAGTTTCAGGAGATTAAAAGTTGGAACTGGGAGCATGGGTAGGCAACGAAGTACAGTTTGCCTACTCATGAAATGACCAGGTCTAACCAACAGTTTCTCGTCCCAAGAGTAACATCATGCACAGCCTCGGCAGTTCACTTAAGTGATAATTGAACTGCACTTAAAATGCTGGTCTTGAAGCCCTTGGTTATGCTCCAGTAATGATTTTAGGGAGTAATTACAACTCTGTGGAAGTATTGTCCTGGAGTGACGTAGTTGCAGTCTATAGCATTATGTGTAAACATGGAGGCCAAGGTAGGAAAACAGTGGTTGCAGTGCATGTGTTCTGAAATGTCTTTGTATAATTTTGGGATCCTAAAAATATTTGAAGTTGTGTTATGAGAAGACTCAATTCTTCAATTTTCAGAGGTAGACAGAAAAAATGGTGTGTGATGGTCATTTCTAAATTCTAAAACAGTTATAACCACTAAAATAACAGTCTTTGGCAAACTCTACTAAACATTTTAGCTGTATTGACTCCGAAACATATTATGAAGTTTATATACTATGATCAGTTCTTACAGTTCAGGTACTGTAAGAACAGAGATGTCAGTGTACAAGGAACCCATAGAGACCAGGCCTTCAGACCATTGGTGCTCATCTCCATATTGGATTGCTAGTATCAGTAACTAGCAATGTCCTGTGACACAGCACTAGTAGAGGGTAGGAGAAAGAACAGTGGCCAGGATACCTTGTATTTGTCTTGTTTTGAATTGTGAGACTATTACTAACAGTCCTAAGACTAGTGCTGGGATACTGGGTCCTGTGGGAGAACCAAGGTTCAGACTGGATCCCTGTCTTAACGCCACTTGGAAACCCAGACTTAGGCTTTTGATTTCTAGTCACTTTTCCATTACATACTTCAGAAAATTTGGTTCCTTGCTCAACAGCATAAACGTTAACATTGTTCAACATTTGGAAACATTCCTTAAAGTCTAGAAGTTGAGATTCTAACCACATTAAAAACAAAACCACAGCTACCTGCAAGGTTCCATGGGAAACACAGTTCTTTGCCCTCCATACTTTCTCCTGGTCCATAGTCAGCGTGGGGACCATAATCAGCTGCCTTAGAACCCAGGGAGATTATCAGTAAAGATTCATTCATTTGAAAACTCTGTTCAGAAAAATTCATCACCAAGAATTGGAATGACCTGAGAGTGTAAGCCAGAATTTTTTTTTTTTTTTTTTTTTTTTTTTTTTTGAGACACGATCAGGAGATCGTTTTCCCAGCTGGCCTGGAACTCCCTACAGAGACCAGGCTGGCTTCAATTGCATAGAGATCTGCCTGCCTCTGCCTCCCTAGTGGTGAAACTAAAGGTATGCTCCCCCACACCTAGCAAAACCAGAAATGTTTTAAGGTCTTTTCCACCTTCTATAAATTTTGTTTAAAACAAAACAGAAAACCAAGGCTTGTGGACAAGGAAGCATTAGGGTTGTGGAGGGAGCAGAAGTCTGAGGCAGCATGTCCGTCTTTGTGTTTGGGACTGCCTTAAAAGAGAAAAAGACAACTAACTTAGCTTAGCAGCTAAGTTGCTAGAATGTGAAAACCAAGATAATTAGAAGCATCCTTAGAAGTGTCTTATAAGGCACAAAAAGTTAACTGGTAAACATTAGGAAAAAATACAGAAAATCTGGCTCATCAGAGATAATCCCATTCCAGTGCCAGGAGAGCTTAAATTTAAGCCTGGGGGAGGTGGAAGTATCCAGTTCATCTAAATAGTCTCGTTGCAGTCCAATCACGTGATGAAACATATCTTAATAGACTGGTCTTGATTGTTTCCTGGCAGAAATCTCAGAATTAATATTATTCCAGGTAATATCACTACCAGATTTTGAGTCAGTTGCTCTACATCTGGCACTGGACTAAAGGCCATAGGAGCTCATTGGGCTCACAGGGCACCACTGTGAGGCAGAGACCACTATCTGTTCTCATGCAGAAGTGAGGGATGAAGGCCAGGGACTCGCTTAGTGTCCTGTGGCTGGTGAGCAGTGGAGGTGAGGGTGAGACCCAGCCAGGTGGCCTACACTGTTACCGTGTAAGACTAGAAATATATGTATTTTAAGAGCCCCCAGAGGAGGTCTGGTCTTGAGTTGAGCAATATGAAGACGTTCTGGCATACTTCGATCCTCTCAAGCTTTAGGCTCTCAGCTTACAGTTATCGTACCTCAGGCTGTATCTATAGGACACTATTTTGTTTTTTTGTTTTTTCTGTTCAGTATAGTTTATTGCCTAAAAATCTAACCAGAAGAGGAGTTGCTTTTTCCTGTTCACAGTTAATGAAAGCATGATCTGTTTAATTCTACTCCAGAAGTTGTGTTGACATTTTGCTCCTGTACTGTTTGGCTTTGTGCTTAGGGCTGATGGTGCATGTTGATAAGAGGATCACCCTGGCAGCTTTCAAACAGCATTTAGAGCCCTTTGTCGGAGTTCTGTCCTCTCACTTCAAGGTCTTTCGAGTGTATGCCAGCAATCAAGAGTTCGAGAGCGTCCGCCTGAACGAGACCCTTTCGTCGTTTTCAGATGACAATAAGGTTGATTAAAAGAATCTTTGTAGAACTGGAGTTGGTTTTAAGTGATAAGCTTAAGAACGGCTTGCACTCCTTCCAAAGCAAGGTGCGGTGGGCAGCACCCCAAAAGGGTGGCCGTTCTTTGGTGGTCAGTGGTTATTGGGGTATTTCCATTGTTCTTTTTTTATTCATCAGACAGACATTGTTAAGTGTTAACTGTCCTTGTTCTGGATGCCAGGGATTCAGACATAAAGATACACCTGTTCTCAAAGAACCCTTGACAGGGAATGGGGGAAACAGAAGTCAGCAGTAGAGTGAGACTGGGATCCTCTGCTGAGTCATTTCACCTAAAAAGATGTTCTTAATTCCTAGATTACAATTCGACTGGGAAGAGCGCTGAAGAAAGGAGAATACAGAGTTAAGGTGTGCCAGCTTTTAGTCAACGAGCAAGAGGTGAGTACAGAGCAGTGCCAGCTACCAGCAGAGCAGGAGACTGCTTCTCCAGTGAATCTTCCTTTCATAGATCTTGCTGTCCTGCTGCCCTGACTCTGCCATGATTGTGTCCCAATAAGGTGTGAGTTAAGCAAGTAGCCCTGAGTGTCACCCTCTAGCCGTTGCTTGTCACCCTTGTTCTCCACTGCTGCAGTGCTGGAGTAAGGCAGGGTTTTCCTGCCTCGGAAGATTAGTTGGTGGATGCTTTCTGGGATAGAGCGTGTAAGCTGCAGGAGCATGGTAGCTGGCCAGTGTCCAAGGTCATCTTAGTGTTCCTGTCGGTCTTAGTTAGCTCTGTGACCTAAGTACTGTTTGTTCCCAACTTGCAGAGCACAAAGCTGTGGTGCATAAATTAGCTCACCTGCTCAAGGTCACAGTTTGAAAATAAAATGTAGTTAAGGCTCTAAACAGGCTGCTTTTTAGGAAATAGTAAGTGGAATATTTTAGTTGTTCTCATATATGAGATTTATGTCTAATTCCCCAAAGAATAAGGAATATTTTCAAGATGTTTTATGTATTATATATGCATCTAGACAAGTAGGAGAGCCATAAACATCTCATGCAATGCCCTCGTGAATCTAGCACGCTTTATCAGTTGCCTTTCACCCTCCATTTCCGCTTGCATGTTTTTTGGGAACTGGCGGTCTGTGGCTACTCTATTTGGATGCTGTTAGTTATGCATTGGAGATTGGTATACATTACTTTCATAAACACTAGTGCCTCTTGCTTTCAAAATTGTCATCATTTTATTTTAAGGAGGGAAATACGAATGCATTCTAGTTAATAGTAACTAAATGAGGAAGATATTGTCCCCAATTTACAGATGAAAAAACTGAGACACAGGATATTAAGTAAACTTACCCAAGATAACTAAGCTTCTAAATTATGAAGCTAAGACTTTAGAAGACAGACTCCCCTTCATTTTCACACTATAAAGTACAAATAAAATGTCTTTCTGATTCTTACGTTGTTGTAAAATACAAGCTCTAATTGTGTGTGTTTATATTCCTAGCCATGCAAGTTTCTGCTGGATGCTGTGTTTGCTAAAGGCATGACTGTGCGGCAGTCTAAAGAGGAATTGATTCCTCAACTCAGGGAGCAGTGTGGCCTAGAGCTCAGTGTTGACAGGTAAGTCAGTCACAGTGTAACCATGATGGAGTGGCCAGTTCCAGACAGGTGCTTTTCTGAAACTAGAAAAAAATTAAAATGTACTATTCAGAAATTTAGGTCTGTGGATTAATAGTACTGAGCAAAAGCAATAGAATTCTGATTGCATTTTCTGTGAAGAATATTACATTTCAAGTACTGGGAGTATTTCTTCCGGATCATTTTACCCATATCTTAATGAAGAACCATTTACTTTTTTTACTTGATCATAATGTATTTTTTCCTTCTAAGTTAAACATTCCAAATTCTAGTAGTTCTAAATGTGTTGTGTCCACAGGTTTCGTCTGAGGAAAAAAACATGGAAGAACCCCGGCACTGTCTTTCTGGATTATCATATTTATGAAGAAGATATTAATATTTCCAGCAACTGGGAAGTTTTCCTTGAAGTTCTTGATGGTATTGGCAATGTTTTATGAAGAAATGTCAATTAGGAATACTCTAGAACTAATAGAAGCCTCTAATTTCTGATAGGAGGAATGCAGTGCTGTGGTGTTGCTGCAGTGAGCTGCGGCAGCTCCTGCACTGCCCCCAAGTCTTGTATTTCCTTCCTAGCGTGGCTGCTTATGCTATGGTTAGAAGACATCCATCTTTTTCCTTTTAAAGATTTCTTTTTTTCCTATTTTCTCTTACATGAAAACTATAATTTAAAAGGTTGGGTTTTTTAGTACAGTATGCAGGAAATTCTGTTAGTATTTTCTTAGACATGCTTCTGTTTACTTTTTCACTGTGGATTATTTTATACTGAAGATGTGGTACAATTACCAAAGATTTTGAGAACCGCTGTATCAGGCGTTGGTGATTTTTTTTTTTTTTTTCCTTCTGGGGTTGTATAGGGTGGGGGTCTATTCCATGCCATCCCCAAACAGCTGGAGCTTTGTTGGGTATTTTGGCATGTTGATGTAACACCCCAGACTCTTGGTTTCCTCTTCACATGGTGGGCTCTGTGTGGGTTGTTTGTATCCAAACTTCCTATTTAACGCCAGTCATCTTAGTCTAAGTTCCACCCTAATGACCTTATTTTAACTTGATTCTATGACTCTATTTCCAAATAAGGTCACATTCTGAGTTGTTAGGGATTTGTCTACATGTCTTTTTAAGGGGAAACACCTCAGCCCATCACAGTGACCTGAGCAGCTTGTGTCTGTCACACTTCCCACTTTCAGTCTCAGTGCAGAGCATTTTAAGTATTTTGTTTTTAGAAGAGGTAGTGGGAGGAAAGTTGACTTTGGGGAAGTAACACAAGGTGAACAATTAGCTCTGTATTGTTTTCTGGTTTTGCTGCTACTTTTTTGTTCGCTAGAAAATCAAAATAATTCAAGATCTTTTATGTAGGGTTATGATAGTTGAGTTCAGTAATACCTCATTCACTTCTTACTGGCTATTTGGGGTCTAATTCAGCTTAACTAACTAGATGAACTGTGATTAGTTAACTAGTTAACTGGGAAGAGAACTAACCTGGCACCAGGAGAACACTGCAGGTTTGATTTCCTTCTCTGGGTGTCTGAGGCCTCAGGGAATAACCACCACCTTTGGATAAGCCGAGAAAGGATTATGAAGGTCCCAGAAATGCCCCAGTGCCACAGAAAGCAGTGCTAGGTGGGAGGCACCTGTGCTGTATGTCAGCATCCATTTTAAGGTCACCTAAAATCCTTAGGTGAGAAATGAGTCCTGTGATTAAATCCAGGAAGCATGTGTCCAGCTGCAGTGAGCAGATGTGCCAGTCGCCGGTTCTGTAAAGATGAGTAGGAGAGTGTTTCCCACCCAGTGCACAGTCTGTGGGAGTGTGTTACTCCTAGTGGCTAGTTGCTAAGAGGCCAGCCCAACAGAAGTAGCTTGTGTGTGCACCAGAGAGGGAGTAGCAGATGAGCTGGATTTTGAAGAACCACTAAATTTTGGATTAAGTGAAATAGGGATTGATGATCACTTGGGTGAAAAGGGAGGCTAAAGTACAGGTGTCTGGATGGTAGGTTTAGATCCTGGTAGGAGCCACTAGCACTGGAGAAGCAGAGTAAAGAGCCAGAAGAGAGAGGAATTGGCAAAGCAGTGTGGGACAGGATTAGCAGAAATGGAAAAGGAGTGCTGCCAGAGGAGAGTTGTTGTCTGAGACGAAGGGAAGAGAGCAGTTAAGATGATTGGGGGGGCGGGGTGTGTGTGTCCACTTCAGAGAGAGAGTTCAGTCAGGAATTGCAGGAGGAACCAAATTAAGAGCCCTTTGAGAAATAGAATCATGAATGTGATCTGCATGTTCTTAGGAGTAGAGAAGATGAAGTCCATGTCACAGCTGGCCATCTTATCACGACGGTGGAGGCCTTCTGAGATGAAGTTGGATCCCTTCCAGGAGGTTGTCTTGGAGAGCAGCAGTGTGGATGAACTGCGAGAGAAGGTAAGTTCATTTGAACAAAGTGAGCCAAGTTGATTTGTGCTCTCCTGTGTCATCTAAGAATTGAGTGCCAGCCACGGATGGCAGCAGCCTTCCTGGGTCTCTCATACTTTGTGCCGCCTTGAGGCTCCTCAGAGCTCCTAATGCTTTCAAATGACTAGAAGTGGACCTTCGTTTTCTGTAACTTGGCCAACTTTGTTCTAAGTAGTTCATATTACTTAGAAGTTGTAGATTGCAGTATGGCTGAAAGAATAAAGGAAGTAGAATTGAATAGAGGTCTTTGGCCACAGCACCCTGAACACACCAGTCTCCCCTGATCTCAGAAGCCAAGCAGAGTCAGGCCTCCTTAGTATTTCGATGGGAGAACTGAATAGAGGATGAAGATGTGCTGTGCCTTTTATCCTAGAGCTAGGATGTCTGGGGAGGATGACTCTTCAGTTTGTATTAGCTTGATGCACATTTTGGAAACCCAGCACTTGGGAGGTGGAAACAACAGGATCAGGAATTCAAGAACAGCCACAGCTACATAAAGAGGTCAGCCTAGGCTACACAAGACCCCTCTCAAAAAAAAAAAAAGAAAAACAAGAGCTGCCATGGTGGCACACGCCTTTGATCCCTGCTCTTGGAAGGCAGAGGCAGGCAGTTATCTGTGAGATTGAGGCCAGCCTGGTCTCCATAATGAGTTCCAGGCCATCTGGGGCTGCAGGGAGATCCTGTCTCAAAAAGAAGGAGAAAATGGGGCAGGGGAGGGAGAGGGAGAGGTGAACTCCTCTGTAATAGTCTCCATCTGTTCACAAAGCAGCTTCTTTGATGAGGGGGTAAATGGTAGGGTACACTTGGCTGAAAATATGAGGATACATATTTAGAATAAAGTAAGAAAACTTACATATGATTTTTCTTTTCTAGCTGAGTGAAATCAGTGGGATTCCTTTGGAAGATATTGAATTTGCCAAGGTAAAGCTTAGAGCATTTGCGTATGAGTTAATGTGCAGTGGTCGTGGTCAGCCTCATTGATCCATTCTTCTTTTTCTCTGTAGGGTAGAGGAACTTTCCCTTGTGATATTTCTGTCCTTGACATCCATCAGGATTTGGACTGGAACCCTAAAGTCTCTACCCTGAATGTCTGGCCTCTGTATATCTGCGATGATGGCGCTGTCATATTTTACAGGTAGAACTCGGGTTTTGTTGTTTCTCATGTTAGTACTATGTTTCTCACAGTGTAATTGTGCTTCTGACCTAGAGCACTGCTAGCCAGCAGAAGCAGTGAGTGCCACCCACCCTCACTTGAAGGTTTTAGTGCCACATTTAAAGTAATAAAAAGAAGCTGGGTTTGGTGGCACATGCCTGTATTTCCAGCAACTGGGAGTTGGAGGCAGGAGGATCGGGAGTTCAGGGCCAGTCTCTGATACATAATGGATTTGAGACCAGTCTGAGATACATGAAACCATGTCCCAAAACCCACCCCTAAAAACACTGACCAAAAAACCTAGTACTAATAAATGAGGCCTGACAAGATGGCTCAGTAGGTAAAGGCGCTTGCAGCCACGCATGATGACCTAAGCTAGAAATCAGGAGCTCGCATGGTAGAAGGAGAAAACCAACTCCCCAAGTTGCCCCCTGGCCTCCACATTCATTTTCTCTGTCTCTCTCTGTCTCTCTCTGTCTCTCTCTCTCTCTCTCTCTCCCCCCCCTCCCCGCTCTAATCAGAATACTAGGTCTCTCTCTCTCTCGGTAGATAAATAGAAACAGGTAAGATTAAATTTAATATAATACTTTTAGTCCAGTACGTGCAAAATATTATTACATGTCACTTATAAAAAGTTAATTTTGAAATAGTTTCTCTTCTTTTGTTTATACTAGTCTATGAAATACTGTGTGGGGTGGGGTGCTCCCAGCATAGCTCAATGTGGACCAGACATATTTCAAACACTCACTAGCTTTTTGCGGCTCATGGCTACCACATTGGACAGCTCAGATGAAAAAGAAAAGTCCTAGTCTTTGGAACCTGGAAAATATGAGCTCAAACTAATAACATCAGAAGTATTCCATGCTATTTTAAGACATGAGTTGTATGCAGTTATGATACACAAAGCTTTGGTCAGCTTTGGGCATGGTTTGTACCCTAGTGTATGAAATAGTATGCTTCCCCAGTGACAGACAACTGGAGGAGCAGCATCATGTTCAGACAAAGTAACAGAGGCAAGGGACTAACTGGTCTCATATGTTCATATTTTAAATAAAGGGATAAAACAGAAGAAGTAATGGAGTTGACAGATGAGCAAAGAAACGAGCTGATGAAAAAGGAGAGCAGTCGACTGCAGAAGACAGGGCATCGTGTCACATACTCGCCTCGCAAAGAGAAAGCACTAAAGATATATCTGGATGGAGCACCAAATAAAGATTTGGCTCAAGACTGACTCTGCTAGTGTAGCATTTTCCCTGGGGGAGTTTTTGGTTTTAATTAGATGGTTCACTACTGCTGTGTAGTGCCATTACGGCTGGACATGGTTGGGGTAACCCAGTGACACCAGCACTGATTGGACTTCCCTTCACCAATCAGAAGCTCAGTGCCCAATGGGCCACTGTCTTGACTTGGAATCATGTTGTGCACTATAGTCAAATGTACTGTAAAGTGAAAAAGGATGTGCAAAAAAAATAAACAGAAAGCAAAACCCACTACTATAAAGGGAAGGGGAGGAGAGTAGAGTCTTTTACCGCAGACAGATGTGCACATAGCCGCTGGTAAAACTAGCCTCAAACAGGATGCTCATAGCCTGATAATAAAAGCTGTGCAAAGGCCACGAACGAATGAATCTTCTGTTTATTTCACTGATACACACATTACCTCATTGACAATTCAGAAGCAAATGCAACTGTGTTGACTCTGGAAAGCAGCAAAATAGGAGCTGAAGAAAGAACTCTTAGAACCAGCAGTGACCCAGAAAAGAAGTGTGAAGTTGTGTTTTTATTGTTCCTTTTTGCGAAGTACTAAGAACCTTGTTCTGGAACATGAAAACATTTTCTTCCCCCTAGACACTCCCAGCAGGGCAGCCCCGATGGCTGCAGGCTTGTAATAACTGACTATACTTAAGTTATGGACTTAAGAGAATATGCCTCACGCAGTCATGCGGCATGTAAATAAGGGGAGTCCTGCTGAGTGCGCCGCTGTGCCCCACTGTTATTCCTTTGCACATCATTCGTTCTGTCCGTCTGTACACACTGCAGTTGAGCAGTCTGTAATGTAACCCTTAGCGAGGCTTCTCAGCACTGGCCCCTGCAGGACATATTTGCTCTGGTTAATGAGGTTTCTCTGTTCAGCGGCTTCAATATTTTTTCTCTGTACGTTTATTTTCAGAGATTTGCTTCATGTTTGAGTCTTCTAGAATGCTTGTACAGTCCCATTCTAATTTTTAAGAGTCAGTTTGTAGTTACATGTAGTTTGACCTTGGGGAAACATCTTACCATCCTGTTGAATAAACTTGCTAGAAAGACTTGGTGCAGACTAATGCAATGTGATCACACCGCAAAGTGTACTGGAGTCAGCAAGTTTCTGTTTTGCTCAGTCAAACTCTACCATGAACACAATTCTGCATAAACTTTGAGATACTAATTTATAAGAATCAATAAAGAGGTTTTGGTAAAACTTTCTCATGCAGATGCTGTTTACAACAATGAACATGCCAATAAAACATTTGTTCATTCTGTTGTGTTATTTTAGTCATTAAACTTTTGTGAACAGTGAATCTGGGTAAAGAATAGATTTGTCATCTTTAAATGGAACATTTTGTAACATATATTGAATAGTTATTTCTATGACAAAGTATATTTAAAGTTCTCATAAGAGAAAAAGATGTTAATATCTGACTTCAGAGGATTCTACCAGTATTTCAAAATCAGATTTTTATCTTTTCCCTTTTAAAAAAATAATTGAGAAAATAATATTGCCAAATATTGGCTTTTTGGTTTGAGTATAATTAAGAATTGTATGTCTTAAAAATCTCTGAGGGAAAGGAATTTTTGTAAGGTATTTTTCTGGCTGATTTTTATTCCATGTAAACTGTATAGCATTGGGATGATTTTGAAGTCATTTCTGAGTTTGTGTCATTAGGGGGATTGGTGTTCTCAGAGGGAAATGTGAAGCTTTATGATGAAGTGTCTTTCAGGTCACTTGGATTTTTGATGTAGAAGGACAAAGTGGACCTGGTCCAGGCCGACTTACTTGGGACCTGGGCATTGATCTGTTGGGATCGTGCTTTTCGGTACTGGCTTCCTGACCAACAGAGGAAGCAGGCTTGCAAGCAGCATGGGCTTTGTCAGCTTTGGGCATGGTTTGGCTTAGTATTCTTCAAAGAGTGAATGACACAGTCCTTCCTGCTCATCCTGCCCCGCGCTGTGTGCCTTCTGCTCTGCTCTGATGCTGCTGTTTTGTGACTAATCACTGCTTCTGATTGTGGGAACATTGCAGATACCAAGAATATATTTCATAGAAAGAAAACATTGCTTCTCAGTGTCTGGTTGTAAGAACACGAATTGGCACTTTAATAATCTCAGTAAAGGATATGGGAAATTTGCAGAGAAGTTGTAGAGTCCTTCAGCTAAGGGAGGTTGCTGTGGTTCAGCCCCCTGGGCTTCAGAGAATTCATGAGCACCCACAGCTGTAGACATGGGACCCAGAGCCTGCGATTGCCTGGCACCCCAGACTGAGGCAGGCCTTGTGCATTGAGTTGCGACCTTGCCCTTTACAGGTCACAGAGAGTTTGAAGAGCTTCTGTGTGGGGTAGATGAATTGTGTGTCCACCATGTACTATGAGAACCACATGGCTGCATTTCTAAGATGAAGCCACTTAACTGCCCTGTACAGAAACTTACTTGCTGACAGTCCACTTCTCAAACCAAGGGAATATATGTAAGGGACAGTGATCATGACAGACAGAAGTGAAGGAGTCTACCCTTGACTGCCCTTTTTCTCATGGAAAAGCAGATTACTGTTCTAAGATGGGTGAAGTTAGACAGCAGAGCTGCTAGTTGCCGGCCTTGCTGTCAGTGTGTTGTGGTACACCTGTGGGCCTGACGTTTGAGCTATGTGAGTGCCCGCTGGCACAGCAGGCAGTGTTGTTACAGAATCTGTAGGTGGCCTGTGACTGTTGAGTGCAATTAATCCTCTTCAGGTTCGTCCTCCGGTATTTCTCGCAGCGTGGATGCTGGAGTTTTCCCTCTGGATTCCATCCCTGTGCTCAGCAACTCAGCCCTCCCCGACTCTTTGGAACCTGTGATTTGCACATTGTAGTCTGGCCTACAGTGTGTGGGATAGGAGATATTGTGAATTAGCAAGGTTGTTTTGTTTTGTTTTGTTTTGTTTTTTTGCTACAGTAAACTTCCATCTACGCAGTTCTGTGTAATTTTTGAGAAATCTATATTTTAGTCATCAGTAGTTAAAGTCTTAGGGGAATCCTGTGAATTCTGAAATCAGTTGCAAAATGGTGTGTGTACGATTTTCCAGGGGGCTCTTTTCAGTGGAGCTTGTGGCCCAAAAGATGCTGATGCACCTGGGCTGAGTGCGAGGAATATGAAGAAGCTCCTCCAGGGCAGTCCTCACGGGCTGCGGGGCTATGAGCATTCTCTTCACCGAGGTGGTTTTTCACAGGTTGGCTTTTGGAAACAACCCAAAACAGGAAACTCAAGAATGCACTGAAGTCTGTGTGACCATTTAGAGAAGTACGGTTATCGGGAAGTTGAAGCCAAGAAGGCCCAGGGTGTTGGGAGTGAGCTGCCCTCTCCACAGCAGCCTCTGCCATCCTACCCAGAAGAGAAGTGGAAATTCACTAGCCCCGAGTTACTGTTAGCTTGTACCCCCTTTCTACCCCTTTGGGGGACCACCCCTTCCACTCCCTCCCCCATACAGAGAACACACCGTTGAGAGCCTCACACAGTGCTCAGGTCACTGCTTAGTGTCACTTTATGGAGACAGAAGCAGTGGCGGTTTGTCCAGAAACTTCTGTGCTCTGACTGTCCCTTCCCAGTAGAAGTCAGCTCTCACCGAGCTCAATGTAGTCCTGCAACTCTTATATCACTTTGTGTCATTAAGGCAATCTGATCTTAGTGTTCAGTCTGTCAGTTACATCACTGAGGCAATCTTAGTGTTCGGTCACTAACACCATGCACGTCCCTGACACACAGGGCCGCCGCTAGCTGTCCTGCCTGGTGCCAGGAGTGGCGGTCAGCCTCACCGTGTGCTCTTCCCCAACCACTACCAATGACAAGTGGGAAGGAGGCAGAAGTTGGTAGGCAGCCGCCTCTGGTAATGAGGTCACTGTTGCCTCTTACAGACTCAAAGGTAGATGCCCACGGGTTCTATCAACAAAGTGCTCTGAGCAGCACTGGCGACCCTGCCCAGAACTTGACTACATCTTTTTGCCAGCCTCCTAGCAATAGACCTTCCCTGGCATGTACCACTCTCCCATGGTGCACTGGACCCCACAAAGTCTTCAACTCCTAATATCTTTTGGTGCCTCTGTCTCTGGAGAAGCAGTTGCTCTCTAAACTCATCTTTGCCTCCCCTAGGAACCACTAGGGGGTCAGGAGGTCTTTATCTGCCCTGCCTGTCTGCTATTTCTTTTCTCCTGCCATAGATTGATGTAAGCCTGAATGTCCTGCACAGTCTTTTTTTAAAAAAAAATTTTCCTCTTTTTTTGGACAGCGTTTATCTGTAGTCCCAGCTAACCTGGAACTCGCTATGTAGACCAGGCTGGCCTCAATCTCACAGAGCTCCACCTGCCTCTGCCTCCAGGGTGCTGGAATCAAAGGCATGTGCCTCCATGCCCAGCTGGATCTGTCTCTTAAAGCTCCCCTCGGCTTTCAGTTAAGGGAAATTTCTCCTCCCCCATGAGGAAGTGATGGGAATAATCATTCCCAAATATTGCACCCTACTCCCCCACAAAGGGCAGTTCATACCCACTCTGGGCTTCAAGTGACAGGTGGACAGTAACTTTACCTACATGGGAGGTTTGTTTGTGAAGGTGTCCAGAAGGGTCTGGGTAGATGGCTCAGCTGGTAAAGTGCCTGCCTCGTGTGAGCATGAGGACCTGAATTTGGATCCCCAGCATCCATGTAAAGGCCAGACAGTAGGCCCATATCTAACCCCAGCACTGGTTGGGGGCGCAGTCAGGTGGCCTAGAAGAATCAATGAGTTTCAGGTCAGTGAGAGACCCTGTTTCAAAAAATTAAGGTGGAGAGTAATTAAGAGATTCCCAACATCCACCTCTGACCTCAACCTGCATACACACGCATCTGCACACCCAAATAAACACACATACAAACCATACCTCTGATGTTCAGAGATGGTTGTGACCAGGATTGCTGTCGTTTTCAACTTCCAGGAACCAAACTCAGCCCTATATACTAGGCAGGATAACTCTCCCAAAGATGCCCAGGGGCTGAACTCCAGACCCTGGGACTGTTTACATGGCACAGGGGCTATGAATGTAATAACAGTCAAGAACTGTCATGGGAAGATTATTCTGGTTATTCAGGTGGGCTTAATCTACTCACAAGAGTCCTTGAAAGTGGGAGGGCCTTCCACAGAGTAAACTAGAGGGACCCATTATTGCTGATTTTGAAGGAAAGGGTTATTGTAGTTTGAGTGTGAAATGCCTCCCATAGGTTCATGTGTTGAACACATGGTCCTCAGCTTGTGGCACTGTTTTGGAAGGTTGTGGAACTTTCTGAAGGAGGAAATGCATCACTGGAAGTGGGCCTTGAAGTTTAATATCCTGGCCCTATTTCCTGTTCCCATTCAGCTTCTTGACGGGATAGACTGTAACCATCCACCTTCACTCCTGCAGCCAAGCCCTTTCATCATCATGGACTATACCTTCACACTATAAACCAGAATAAACCCTTCTTGACAGGTCACAGAAATAAAGTAACTAATACAGGGGCCATGTACGGTCAGCCACCTTAGGGACTACCAGAGTCTGGGAAGTGAATACTCTTTTGGAGTCTGCAGGGAGGAATACAGCCCACTGTTGTTTGGGTCTCCGGAAGGCTGCATTGGAGCCTAAAGACACATCCTGAGCACCTGTCCTCAAAGGTTGGGGACAAGGGGGGACAGGGGGCGGGGCTTTTCCTATTTCACTTTCCCTGGGTAGCTTGGCCTGTAGCTGGAATAGCTACTGTGTAGGCAAACCTTCAGCACCTGCCACCATTTCCCTGGCAGGAAATGGATCCCAGGAATGAGCAGGCAGCAAGTCAACGCCACATTCAACAATGGTGACACTGGTCTGCCAGCTATGGAACTCAGCTAAGAAGCTACAGGGCCTCTTGCAGCATCCTTACTTTTGAAGAGCAGGGTATTGCTTTTTAGGGTAATTACCAGTTCCAGAAAAGGGCTCTAATTTATTTCTATATATTTCTTAATTATTTTTATTTTTTTTATGTGTATGAGTGTTTTGCCCTGAATATATGTAGGTACACCCATGTGTGCAATGCCTGTGGAGGTCAGAAGAGGGTATCCGGATCCCCTGGAACTGAAATTAAGAAATGGTTGTTAACCACAATGTGGATGCTGGAAACTGAACCAGAGTCCTCTGTAAGAGCAGTCAGTGCTCTAAGCCATCTCTCCAGCCCTACTTTTTGTATTTTTAATGTGTATGAGTGTTATGCCTGCATGTATGTATGTGCACCATGTACATGCAGTGCACATGGAGGCCAGAAGATGGCATTGGATCCACTGGAACTGGAGTTACAAAAAGTTGTGAGCTACCATATGGGTGCTGGGAACTGAACCCAGGTCCTCTGCAAGAGCAGCCAGTGCTCTTAACACTGAGCCATCTCTCCAGCCCCAGGTTCTAGTTTTATCTCATTTACCACTATTACTCTGGCACCCAAGACAGGGCACATATGGTATGTGCCCCACACATTCTTTTGGGTGAAATAGTTTTCAGCCTCTTCTCCAAGCACCTCCTAAAGTTTCCCTCACCTTCCAGCCTCTTCTAGCCACTTTGAATTATGACAGTTTCCCCTCTGTGGCCCCCTTACCTCTCTCTTGCCTATGGTCCAGAATGCCTTTCCTTTTTGCTCTGGCTTCCTGATAAACCTGTGGCTTTTCAGATCATACCTATGCCAGCTACAAGCTAAGTCCTCCATGGGGGCTTTGTACTCACTGCAGGGCTGACTGTTACTGTCACTGCTTGATTTAGCTATGTCCCACCTTTACTGTGATGCCTTCAGGCCAGGGATTCTCATCTGGGTCAGCTTGGCATCTACAGGGCATGTCACAGCCCCTGGCTCTGATATGGTTCTCAACGTATAGCCACTGCATGATCCACGAAGGGATGGAAAGTGACCCTAGTGGTTTTTTTAATTATATGTATATGTGTGGGGGCATATGAATGCAGTACCCACAGAGGCCAGAAGAGGGTGTCAGATCCCCTGGAGCTCGAGTTACAGGCAGTAATGAGCTGCCTGACATGGAATGCACCCATGTCCTCTGGATGAGCAGCAAGGGCTCTTAACTGCTGAGCCACCTTTCCAGGCCCATGCCCTCCATATTTGAGACCACCTCCATATTTGATCTCAAAGTCATCACTGTACCCATGACATCACACCATGTTAGATGCTCTTTCATCTGACTTCTGGCTCTTCATTCTTCATCTGTTAAGCTGATCTCATAGAATCCAAGAAGTTAAATGAGTTAGCAAAGGTGGACTGCTCAAGCTTAGAATCATTTAGGAGACACACCTCTTGGCATATCTGTGAGGGAAGGAATTTCCAAAGATGTTTAACAAGGCAGGAAAAGGTCTCTTGCAGCAACTCAAGTGGAAGCACCAGAATCCCCGGCTCGGAGCAGGACTCTATGGATTGTTGTAAGAATATAGCAGACAAGCTGGACATGGGAGAAATCACCACCTTTGATAAGGCCAAGCTGAAGAAAAGCAGGAAAAGAATGTCCTGCCGAACAATGAGACCATTGAGCAGGAAAAGTGGAGCGGAATTTAAAAGCCTAGACTGGGGGAGTTCCCCACCCTGCCCCACCCCTGTGATCTCTGAAACACCCTGATGTATGGTTAATGAAAATAAAACACACCTCGTGGCAAAAAAAAAAAAAGGCAGGAAAACCCACCTTGAATGTGGGCACTACCATCCCATGGACTGGGCTCCCAGACTCAATAAAAATGGGAGAAGGAGAGAGTCAGCTGAGCACTGGCAATCCCTTCTCTTGATCCCCCATAATGTGAGCAAACAGCCTCATCCTCTGACTGCCAGCACCCTCCCACTCCCCCTTCCATGATGCACTGCATTCCCTAAATCAGGAGCCAAAACAAACATTTTCTCCCTTAAGTTGCTTCTCATCAGATGTTTGGCCCACAGCAACAAGAATAAAACAGAGGTGCAGGTACCTCCAGCCTTGCCTTTAGGAGGTGGGCCCTGGTAAGAGGACCCTAGGTGACAGGAGGGACTATGGAACTCCAATCCTTCCCCTCTCTTTCCCTTCTTAGCCAGAGGGGAGCAGCATGACTCTACTGAATGCTCCCACCATGATGTTCTGCCTCTCCACAGATTCAAAGCAACAGGATCATGGCTGAAACCTTCATAACGGTGAACCAAAATAAACCTTTTCTCTTTGAAATTATTAACCTCAGATATTTTGTCAGAGTTGGAGTGCTAACACAGACCTAGAACTATGTCTTGAGTACAGATAGCCTCCAAGAAAAGACTCAAATATTCCATTAGTTCAGAAGACAGTGAAGTAGTTTCTCACTTGAAACCAATTCCCATCCAGACATGGTTAAGACTTCTGGCATACTTCATTGCTAAAAGAGGTATGCTGGCAATGCCCGGAAAATGTGTCTATGGAAATTTTTTTCTGTCTCTTTATAATCCAGGTCATTTCTGTTTAATTTTTCTAGCTGAAGGGGTTTTATATTTATTGAAAAATCAAAGTCCAAGAACTGTCAGAGTATCCAAAGTGATATATGCCTGATTTCTAAACACAACATGTGTTTATATATCATTCAAAATTAAAAAGGGAGCATGCTTATACAATTGTATGCAACTTTTTTAATAACTCTGAATACATGGTGGAACAGTTCCTGGAAATATCAGCCATTGAACAACATCCTGCTCGGAGCTCTCAGTTGGAACATTACAGCCGTATTCAGAGCCTGGCTTGGTTTTGCTTTCTGTGTTCAGTTGCTGCTAAATAATTTTGCAAATTTCACTTACAGTCCTGATCTTACAATTACTCAAGTATCTTTCTTGCAAGTTAATTTATAGATGATGCCCCAATTACTGACCTTCAAAGTTACTGAAGCAAATGGCAAAGGACAGTGTCCACATCACTAGTCTCCACTAAAGTGATGGTCACCCCACACTGCTACTTCTAACAGAGGGACATGCAAACTAGCTCCACCTCACTTTCAGGCATGCCTCAAAAGGAAAACAAAATATTTTACTCCCTCCGTTTTGGGAGCATGGAGGCTGGTGTGTGGTGAGCAGGAAACACTGAGCTTGGAGCCACACATGAGTGAAACCGACCCTGGTCTTCATTTAGCTGTGTGACCGGCAAGTAGCTTGTAGTCTCAAAAACTCCAGGAGTCCCCTCCCGGGCTGTAGCAAGTGGAGGGATGGGTTACAAAGGGCTGTGCTGACAGCGAGGTAGGAGCTAAGAGAAATGCATAAGAGGACACTTGAGCAGCAAACTTCCTCTTCAGCTGCTGCCTCTGCCCATAGGAAGAACTGCATGACAAGGTCAATGGCTGCATTTTGCCAGGTTGATATTTGCAAAGCAGGCACCCTCCCTCCTTCACATGCCCCCCAAAGCCATCAAGGGCAGACTCCATCTCTTTCCATTCCCTCCCGTAAGTAACTCTCCAACCCATGTGCAACAAAACAGAATGTCTGCCGACCTTGGAGGCAAAAGGGTCAACGGGCCCTCACCCGCCATGCCCATCTTTCCCCACCACCAGAGGGGTGGGTCATGCAGTGCAGCTGGGGCAGCGGGACAAATGCACTAGCACTGCACCTTGTTAAGCCAGAGGGAAAAGTTACTGGGAAGGCCAGGCACGGGGAACACCTGGCCAGCCCACACCTTGGGGACACTCCTAGGGAAATAAATTAGCCATTTCTATTGCACGTCTAACAGTAGCTCCACTGGCACTGGATCTAAATCTCTTCTCCACCCAGCAGCTCTGCAGGGGCGGGCTCCTCGAATGCCATTTCCTGAGCCAGGTTCCGCTCCAGGTCCTCCAGTTCCTGGCGCACCTCCTCCATGAAACCACCATACTCATCAGGGGCATCCCTGGGCAGCAGGCTCTCATCTTGATCATGGCTGCCCACGAAGGCTGGCTTACACACGTACACCAGACTGTGGCTGGGGAAAGAGAGGGCTGAGGCTTGGTTAAGTGTTCTCCAGCACCCTATGGAACAAAGCCAGACACTGAGCATGAGGGTTACACTAGAAGCTGTGCTCCTTGTGGGCCTTCCGGCCTCACCAACTCTACTTCCTGTCAGGGCTTTTAAGTTGTCTTCACTTCCTGTCAGTATCACCTGGGTCACCTGCAACAATACCCTCAAGGCAGCCACAGGTCTGTCTTTATGTGACTAACTCTTGTCTTGGCTGCCTAGGAGCAGGCCCTGAGGATTTGGGGGTTTTGGGTTTTGGTGCCACAGAGAGTCCCCTCGCCCTCTACCCATCTGGGCTCCATATGGGGAGGCCCTGGGCCTCTGTGGGAGAGGGGAAGCGAATGCTGTCTGCCCAGCCACCATGGATGCTGGTAGACTAGGAGGCTGTGGACAGGGAAGAAAGATGTACAGAGATGCTGGCCACAGTGGTCCCTGAGGCTCCAGCCTCCAACATTGCCTCCCCCCTCCCCATGGTGGTCCACTCCTTCTGCCTCTCTGCCAGCACCCTCTCTCACTGTGAGGATTCAGCCTGGGCTCATTCTCTCCATACTCTCTCTCTGGGACATGGACTCAGGAAGCATTCAGCCACCATCCATAGCCAGCCTATAGATCTGCTGCTGACTGAACCCCTCCTCCATCCTGGTGACCTGGGGACGCAGCTAGTCACACACCTCCTACACTAAATCCACATCTCCCCCTGACTGAACTGCTCCTGAAGCCCCCTGGATAGCATTTCATGTGTCCTTAGCCCCAAGAAGGGGCAGCAGGAGGGGCCTCACCTGTGCGGCTGGCAGAGGAGACCACTGGTGCAGGGGCATCGATCCAAAGCGCCCTCAGGCTCCAGCTCCCAGGTTATGAGGTCCAACAGCCGGCTGGCAGGGTCATGGCAGAGCTCACCCTCCACAGGTAGGGGTGTGCACACAGGAAATAGCAGGCCTGGAGCCAGTCAAGAGGCACCATGAGGACGGGCAGAGAAAAGGGTGAACCTCCCTGTCCTCCCTCAACCCCCTAGTGAGGTTAAGATTGACGAAGTGAAAAGAATGAGGGACAGGCCATTGAGGATTGCCCATGAGTCTGCCTGAGGACCAAGCCTCAAGCAGGCCAGGGCACCAATGAAGACCTAGGTCAGTATAGTGGGAAGAGGCAGGCAGAGGAGCAGAGAGAGAGAAGACAGACAGGAGCTGGATGGTTGAGGCTTGGCAGGAGACAGCAGGACCTGATGTGGGTCCAGATCAGCAACACCTAAAAAGCCATTCTCTGAGAAAATCACTGAGGTGGCGGGTCCTGGGAAGAGCAGAGGGATCAGGAAAGCCTCTTGTAGGCAGCTGAGGAGCATTCAGACACACTCCTTGGAGAGGAGAGTGCCCATCCATGCTCACAGGGAGAGAACAGAAGCTGGGAACCAAAGCGATTGTTCACAGAAAGAAGAATCTGGGCCAATGTGGCCTTCGTGGGTGGGGTAGGGGCTGCCCTAATTCCACTCTCTGGGGGTACTCCTTGTGCCCTGGATTCATGCATCCTAAAAGAATTTAACTTTCTAGGCTGGATATCATGGCGCATGCCTTTAGTTCCAGCACTCAGGAGACAAAGGCAGGTGGATCTCTGTGAGATTGAGGCCAGCCTGGGCGGTATAGTGAGTTCCAGGCTAGCTGAGGCTACAGGAAGACCCTGTCTCAAACCCAGGTCCTCTGCAAGAGCAGCCAGTGCTCTTAACCACTGAACCATCTCTCCAGCCCCAAGAATTTAACTTTCACAACCACCAACTGGGCAAAACCAAAACAGAAGATAGTTTTTCTACCTCAGGAAGAAGCTGTGTGGCTGGGTCACACACAGCGAGTGCCACAGTGAGCACTGGAAACCGTGCCAGTGAGGCAGGGTGCTGCAGAGGTATGGGGGGCATTCTGAGAGCTTGGGACAGGCTTCCCAGAACCCACAGGGGAACCTACACACCTCTCTGGAAGGCACAGCACAGCCCCGGCTGGCAGTCCCTCTGGTTGTCACAGATGGTCCCGTTGCCACCTCTGGTGGCCTTTTTGGTGCAGTGACCCCACACACATAGCTGATCTCCACAGCACTCACTGTCCCGGGTGCAGAGCTGCAGAGAGGGAGGAAGAAACAAGACCCGGAGGTTCATGGGACACCTGGCCTGTCACAGTGCTCCAGCCTGGCCAGCCCAGCCAGAGATGGCTGAAAGCCCCAACCCCCCATCCTCTGAGAGGAGACAGGCTTTTCTGCCCAGCTCAGGACTGTGCAAAGGATACTTGAGTGTCTATGGAGCTTCCACCCCCAAACTATATATTTCCCCCCTTTAACGAGGCCCCAGTCAGGAAGGAGGGTCACTCAGGCCACAGGTGGGGGCAAAAGCATCATTCTAACAAGCTGATAAGACAAATCAGAGTCAGGAGAGCCCAGGGCAGGAATGGTACACTCATCCCAGTGACCCAGAATCCCACAGGAAATAGCAATTAGAGAGCAATGAGAGGCCTCCTGGCTTGTGCCCAGTGAGGGACTGGGAGGTACAACAGCACCTGCCTCTCCACAAGGGGTCTGAGTAGGGTCAGGAACCCCTTTATCCTCCAAATTTACTGTGCTATATGATCACCACAATAAGGGAAAATAGCAAGAGTTTTTGTGATCATGGCTTTGTCTAAACTGCATGCCAGGGGAGGGAAGGGTTTCCTCTGCTCTGGACCACCTCCACTGGGGGAGTGCTCCAGCCATCTCTTTCTTCCCTAATAGAATGTGTGAACTGCAGAAGAGCCATAAGCTTCATTAAGGAAAGCCATAAAACCATAAATCCCTTAAAGTGGCTAACTGATCCTAAATTAGCAGCCTGGCCTTGCTCAAACCTTATCAACTAGTCACTTCCAGAAGTGAAGGAGACTATTTATGGAACTGACCTGTCTCCTTTAATGCCATAGATAACTTGCCTGCTCTGCCTGAGAAAATATTCTTAGGAAGAGGATCTTCAATTACCCAAGGACACCAGACCCTGGCACCTGGCAAATTCCTGCAGCTGTGTTTAGTAGAATTCAGATAAAAGTCCAAACTTCCCACCCCCTATTTGCAGATGCCTTCTTCCCACGGAAGGGTATCTGTCACTCACTGTGTTCCTGAATAAAAGGACACATTCTTTGCCTGTTATAGGTCTGGCTCTGACTCTTATTTCTAAACTCCTTCCTTTTTCTGCTCTCCTAAATCTAACAATGTCTACTTTGGAAGGCTGTGAGGAGATTAAATGAGATAGTTTGTGAGAAACACCAGAAGTATCATATATTTTCACCGAATATCAGCATCCATTCCTCTTGCCTCAGCCTGTTTCCATCACCCAGCAAGAACTGAGCACCTACTATGTGGGTAGGCACCATTATGAGTGATAGGGATGTTATACAGGCCCATGCTATTTTGTAAAGATCCATTTTGGTAAAACTGTGATAATTCCTGAAACTACAATCATTTGCATTTCCAGAACTGAAGTAACTTGCTTTCCTAGAGTCCTGCCATCCCCAACCTGTGACCCTCAGTAAAGGACTGCCATAGGAAATCTAACACTCCCTCTGTGCTCTTATTGGGCAGATTGAAAGAAGTTGGGAGTTGGGCTGCACTGTTTTCTAGAGGGAGGAAAGCAGTGGTCCTTTCCCCTGCCTGGGGACAGCAGATGTGTAGTGCTGTGTGTACTATATGTTGTACCAGAGGAAGGGATTGGTTTAGGGCCTCCTGCCTCTCCTTCCTCCCATTCTCTGAGACAAACAGTGTGACCAGAGATTGAGGGCAGGTCTGCTGGTGGCTTTCTGTCATGCCAGGGTGGAATCAGACTTCTGAGTTACTCTGGGACCTGGCCCCACTGAGACTCCTCCCCATCACTGAAGGGCTCTTGCAAGCAGCCCAGCTGAGACCCTCTGGAGCATCTAGCCATCTCCCTGTGTCAGGCAGCCCTGGAGACTGCTGGCACCCTCACCATCTGCTGGTCCCGGCATGGCTGGCAGGTGTACTGGAAGCTTTCAAACTGGCAGTACTTGGTGGGTCCGCAGTCCTCATCAATGATGCACTCCTAGAATGGAGAAAGGGGCAGCTTCATCAGTAAAATATGGGGTGCAGACCCTAAGTGCCCCCAGAAGGGTGAAATTCAGATTCATTCTAGTCTTGGGTGAAATATGGGCCCCAGAAGTGTCTCCTAGACCAGGCCATCCCAGAGCCTGGCCAGGCTGGTGCTGTTCACATCCGCCTGTCCAAGTCCACACGGTGTCTAGTTTCATAGGCTCCCATGCCCATCACACAATCCCAGGCTGTGTGCAGCACCCTCCACACCCAGGGTGGGGAGCACAGGGACTCAGGGTCAGTCTTCCACATGGAGCAGATGGGTTTAATAAAAGGTGCTAATGAGTTCCAGGCTCCATGTGACTTCACAGGAAGGACTAGAGGCCAGGCCCAGCAGGCCTTGCTGCCTGGGAGGACAGCAGAGGTTGTACCACCAGATACCAACCCTGCCTGCCGGGAGTCCTCCATAGTTTCCTGAGTTCTTAGGCGCAACCAAGAGCAAATGAGCCTTAAAATGAGAGTTGGGTGGCTGGGATCCCACCATCCCAGCCCGGGTGGCCTTCTCATGGCCACCAGCTAAGGAAGGGTATCTGTCCATCTGTGAGTCAGACCTGCCATCAAGCTCAGGCCTAGGAGAGGAGGGCGGAAGAAGGAAAACAGTGAGAAGGACTCCATTTATCACCTGCTTCCCTGGGCTGGCACAGTGCAGAGCCTGACATCACTGATCCCAGGCCTCACAGCAGGTGGCAGCTGGGGGTCCCCTTCTCTCTGTTGCCAACTGGGAGATGAAGACCCAGAGAGGTCATGGCATCCCACTTGAGAATATGGCTAATTCAAGGTAGAAGGGCACTTTCTACCAATGTAGCTAAATGGGCTATTCAAGAAAAATATGGATTTTAATCCTTGTTTCCTCCCTTTGTCTCAGCAAATTTCATCTGACAAGGTCGTGGTTAGAACACTGACACAGCTAGCTAGAACCCGCTGGCCTTGTGTCCTGATGAAACATCCTCAACTCTGTCTCAGATGGACTTTCAGACAGAGGATTTTTTTTAAACATTTGTTTTCTAAATTTATAATAATCTACCTGGTTTTAAGGCTTTTGCGATAACCAATCAATGTATAGGTTTCCTTTTCACTGTAACTCACTGCCTAAGGTATGAAAGATGAGTATTTCCTCCTTTTAGCTTCCAGACTTTTTAGACTTAAGTCCTCTGGACCAGGATACAGCCTAAATAAACCTGCTTCCTGCATCACCTGGTGTCATCCTATCCATCTCCCAACACTACCACAACCCTTCGAAGGAGGGTCTCGTGGCCCCAAATGTAATAAACCAGAGATAAGGGCTCCCCAAGGGCCTGGTGTCCTAGAGTCCAGGCAAACCTTCTGGAAAGGTCTTGGTGAAGAGTGGGACTGGCCTCCCAGTGCATCCTCCATCCTGAAACTCAATGCGGTGCTTAACACAGTAAAGCATGGTGGGTCAGGCCAGGATCTCGATGCCTGGGGCTGGTCTTCACCACCTTCTGTGAGCTGAGGCAGCTGTATTAATGAATATAGGTATCTGGGGACCTACGGCCTGAGCATGTGCACACTGGGTCTCAGCAGATAGGCCCCAAAGAGCTATTACTGGGATACTGCTGATATCCATGCTCCAAGTCTGAATGTCCCCTGGCCCAACTCTGAAGATCTGAGATTTTGGGGGCAGCTGCAGGCCTGGCATTAACTCTTGCCCCCAGTAGAGGGAGCCTGGGCTATGCTCTGCTCAGCCACCAAAACCATCTTCCCATAGCCCTCTCTGAAGGATGACAGGGAGGAGGCCAGTGTGAGGGTACATATGCTTGATACATAAAGTCACTCTTCAGCACATCCTACCGGCATGCGCCACCACTACTGGCATAAAGTCACTCTCATACAGCAAGCTCTGGGCTTGCCAGGGCTCAGGCTGACTCCCAGAAAACCAGAAAGCCATTTTGCTCTTTATGGTAATTTCTCAACAAAATGTGAAAGGAGACCCCCACTGACACTAAAAAACATCTAAGATCACTCTCTTGCTCAGCCCCAGGAGTCACAAGGCATTCTTCAAAGTAATTCTAGTGTCTCTTTTCTGTGCTCAAGGGTTATGCTGCCATTTGAGCCCATCTCCTACAGAGTCCTCAGTACCTACCTGGGGCCAGGCTCAGAGGAGCTGAGAGCTAAGGAGAAAGGCCTGGGATGCTGGAAGACTCTGCTGCTTCCCTGTCTAAGCAGCACTGCTTTGATTTCTGAGGGGTGAGGACCTTACCGGTCTCCTATCTCTTAGGCCCTTGGACTGGAGTAAGATAGCCACTCAATATGGCACCTGAACTGAAGACACATGAGAGTGAGAGCCTTGGCCTGCAGGAGGCCCAGGAGGGCTGAGATCTGATGCTGAGCACCTGCTCTACAGAGGTCACCACTACTGGCACAGCAGGGCCCTGAGTGCCCACTAACAACATGACCTCTCCCTAATCAACATAGCTATGATCCTTATAAACTGAAGTTCTCAAAAAACAAAACAGCCACATCTGTGATAAAGATTCTACAAGACTGCTTTTTTCAGATTAGAACATAAGTGATTGTGGAGGGTTAGAATGTTACAGGTACAGACACAAATTATCTTGGGCCATCTTTAGCCCCCTACATGGCCATTCACTGTCTACCTCTGTTGTCGACCTAACATCCAGCCCCATGACTAGGAGGTAAATCCTTTTGGAATGTACAAACAGACCCCTGGCTTCCACAAACCCAAAGGCTAAGAATGTCATTGGATAGCCAGGCATGGTAGCACACACCTTTAATCCCAGCACTCAGGAGGCAGAGGCAGGCAGAGCTCTGCCTGGTCTATATAGTGAGTTCCAGGCCAGCTGAGGAACAGGGGGACCCTGTCTCAAAAAGACCAAAAAAAAAGAATGTCATTGGATAACATCTGTGAGGCCTATAGCAGAGGTTTCCCCAGCTTACTGTAGCCCACCTACCTGTTGTACCCACCAATATGTTTTTAATTTACTTAATTTATGTAATAAATATGTATTTTATTTATGTGTTCACCTAAACGAGTTTATGTGCACCATATGCATGCCTGATGCCCAAAGAGTCCAGAAGAGGGCCTTAGATCCCTCGGAATCTAGAGTTATAGGGAAGTTGTGAGCCACCATATACATGCTGGGATCCAAACCCAGGTCCTCTGCAAGAGCAGCCAGTGCTCCTAACCGCTAAGCCATCTCTCCAGCCCCTGGAACATGAGATGACCTGGGCCATGGTCACTCATATTTGGTTCCTGGATAAACTCTTATTCCCTTTGAGGCGACAGGGTTTTTGTGTCAACATGCCATCTCAGATATGGAAACTAAGACTTCAGGCCTTGGAGGATCGCCCGGAGTCTCCGAACTTGTCACAGGTGGTGTCAGGTCCCCGACATCCCTGAAGACAGGGTCTCCAGATCTCTGTGGTACATCTCAGCTTTGCCCTCCCTTCATGGCCCATCTCCACTAGCTCAGTTAGCCCAGCACCAGCTTCCTGTGCCAGGGCCCAGACAGAAGGGGAGGTGACAGCCCCGGGGTCTGGGATAACAGGATAGCAGGGCTTCCAGTGAAGCTGTGACCACACCCAATCTGTCCTGCCCCTCCCTCCCATCCTGACAGTCAGCCCAGAAGCTGGTCACCATCTGCAGTCATTCCATTTCATGGAGACCTTTGTAGTGTTGTGCTATATTTAGAAAGCTCGGCTGGAGGCCCAAAAGCAGGACTAAGAGCAGCAGGGGCTTGGCCAGGGCTGCCTGGAAACTGCCCTGGAGCCTTGACGGAATCCTGAAATAGTGGAAAATGGCACAGGAGCTCATCTGTATCTTTGATTTTCCAGCTCACATTCTGTCAGAGAAGAGATCCAAGGAAACAAAGGCCAAAGCCAGGGGTGAGGGGACTCCACCAGGATAGTACAGCTTCCCACGGTGCCCCTGCGGGTCAATGGCAAACAGCACACTGCTCAGGCTCCATTCTGCAGAGGAGAGTGAGCCTTGGGGCCCAAGGTCAGGAAAAGCTAAGGTTTAAACACAAGTTGAACCCCAAGGGCTCATTCCACTGCTTCTTATAGCCCCAACATTCTCAATTTGAGGGTCAGAGAGACAGCTCAGTGAGTAAAGGCACTGGCCACACAGGCCTGATGACTACCTGAACTCCATCCCCAGAACCCACATAAAGGTAGAAGGAGAGAACCCACTCCACAAAGGTATCCTCTGACCTCTACATATGTGGTCATGGTACATGTGCCCTCTATTATAATTTTTTTGAATATTAAATGTTGTTGGACAGGGTGGTGCGTGCCTTTTAATCCCAGCACTCCAGAGGCAGAGGCAGGCAGAGTTGAATTGAGGCCAGCCTGATCTACATAGCGAGTTCCAGGCCAGCCAGTGCTATGCCTCAAAAAAAAAAAATTTTTTTTTTAATGCCCCTTATGGATTTGTTCTTCTACCCAAAATTCCTATGTGGACCTAAAACTTCAGAATATGCCCTATTTTGGAGGTAAGGCCACTGCAGGCTCGGTTAGTTATGATAAGGTCACAAGAAATCTTTATCTGTGGTAAGGATTCTACATGGCTGACTGATGGGAACTTCCTGGTTGTGGAGAGTTGGAATGTTGCATGCCTGGAGCCAAATGATCTCGGACTCTTTTTAGTCCCCTTAGTCACTCTTTGCCACCTGAATCTAACTGCTCATCCTTAGTCGACTGTTAAGTTCTTTGGGGATGGATGTATTAGTTCCTACCTCTGCCCTAGTTTCCAGAGCCCCTACACCAGGGCCAAAGCACCAGTGAAGCCACAGAAGGGTCTAGCAACTTGAGCCAACGGATCTCTTTCTACCGAAAGACTTAGAACATCAGGCTTATGCCAGGGCAGGGCTCTCCCCATCACAACTAACCTCCAGCTTCATCTCAGAGCCCTCTGTCAGTGGATAGGGACAACAGAAAGGATGAGAGGTGCATGGAGACGCAGGAGGGACTCAG